CCAGGCAGAGGCTGCCGCCAGAATGGGTGCAGGTTCCACGTGGTGAGTGGCAGAGCTGGCGGGTGGAGTTGGTGGATAAAAGGCGTACAGGACATAATAAATAGACATAAGGATAAACATAAAGCTAAATATTACTTGAAGAAGAGGGAGACATTTATTACTTAAAGAAGAGGGAGACAGAGAGACATGGAGATAAACATAGAGAGAGACAGAGACACGTGTGCACATGCCAAGAGACGGGGATAGAAGAGAGAGAGTTAAGATGGCAACAAGGGAGGTCAGAAGTGGCTGGGAGTGGGCGTGGTTAGCCCTTAAAGGGACCAGAGCATAAGGAATAACAGGAGGTGTGGGTGGGGTGGGTGTGGAGGTCCACACCCATACTGGGGACTGAACCTAGTGTTCCACACATACTAATCAAGCCCGCTACTACTACCCCAACACCAGAGCAATACGTTTTTTTTTCTTTAAAAAAAAAATAGTTTGCTTGTTCACTTGGAGGGTGTTGCATGTGTCTGTTTGGGTTTTGTTCGTTTATTCTTGCTTTTGTTATGCTTTTGGCAGAGTCTCACTCACTATATAGACTGGGCTAGCCTGGGGCTCAGTATGTAACCAGGCTGTCCTGGACCTCACAGAAATCTACCTGCCTCTGCCTCTTATATGCTAGTATTGAAGTGCACCACCATGCTGGGCTTTCACTAGTGTCAGGAAACAGATACGACCGTGTTATTCCCATTGCACGGTATCTTGTCCAAGGTCACTTGGCTAGTAATTGCAGAGCTGGAACTGAGCCCAAGCTGACTGGAGAGCCCCTCACCTAGTCACCACACACACTACCTTGAGAGCAAAACACCAGCTGCAGCGGAGGTGTCTGTAAAATGAAGATGTAAACACATAAGAGTCTGCTACTCCCCACCCCAAAGGTGGAAAGTTCAAATGTGTACCAGGACCCAGAGCTAACTGTGGCGTCTCTCCCTTTCCGGTAATGATCGAAAGGCTAAGTGTGACACTTAGGCCATCTGGAAAACAGTTGACGCAAAGGAAACTCGCAGCATAAGCTGCTAGATAACACAGGAGATAACCTGGAAGAGCTGACACCAATTAGGGTGGGAACTCGTGCCGAATGGAGACCCATAACTACAATTCAGGTTCTCCGAAGATTTAAGTGTGCTTGCCGATCATGATGGCAAATACCCGAGGGGAACAACCGAGGAGGGTCGTTTGCCTTGGCTCAGGGTTTCAGACATTTCTTTCCATGGTTGGCTGGTGTGAGAACTGATCTTGATTTTTAGCTGGGGAGACAAGACCTTCACTGAGGACTTGTCTCTGTCTGATTGGCCTGTAGGTGTATCTGTGGGGCAGGTGTTTTTTTTTTTTTTTTCTTTCAGTTTTTATTACCAATTAATAAAGGGGGCCCAGCCCACTGAGTGAAGGGCCCAGCCCATTATGAGTGAAGGGTCCAGTCCACTGTGGCCATGCCCTCCCTGGCAGATGACTCTGGGCTGCATAAGAAAGGTACCTGAACCTGAGCTGTAGAACGAGCCAGTGAGCGGTCTTCCTCTACGGTTCTTGCTCCCTGAGTTCCTCCTCGTTCTGACTCAGTGCTCAGACTGTGTAAGCCAATGAAACACTCTCCTCCCTGAGTTGCTATTGGCTACGGTGTTATCGTAGCAACAACAAGCAAATTAGAACAGTGATTCCATTGCCTCGAGCCTGAAGTGACACAGGACGTGACAATGGAAAAGGAATGGAGCAGAGGAACTGCCTCATTGAAAGCTGGAAGCAGAATCGGGAAGGAACCTGGGACAAGATACACCCTTAGAAGGGTTAGTGGTGGTCGGTGTCTGGACCATGCACATGCTCCCAGGCTCTTGGCATCTTTTTTCAAGGAGTTTGAAAAGATACACACCCAAGAAGCAAGACAGTTTTACTAAGATCAAAGAGAAAGCACAAATTTGGGGTGCACAGCCCAGAGAAGCAGAGAGCCACCTGAGTAAGTGAGCACTCAAGGGCCATGGTTATTGTTTGGGGCTTCCTTTCGTGAGGTTCAAGAGGAGGAGGAGTTCGGTAGCTAAGGGGTGTAGTGAGGGTGGTTTCCCATTTTGATGTCCATGTGCGAGTTATATGACCTTTTCCCTCTGCCTTATAATCTGTTTATTTATTGATCTTGGATGAACTTAACGCCCTCATGATCCAATTACCTCTCAATAATGCCACCAGCTGGGGACGAAACACATGGATTTGGGAGAGAGGACGTGTCATGTTCAGACTTTAACATCTGATAAGATTCATGTCATGGGCCCAGCAAGATGGCTCAGCATATAAAGCTAGTCACTAATTTTGATAACCTGAGTTTAATCCCTGGGACGCATATGGTGGGAAGAAGACAACTGAATCCTTCCAAAAAAGCTCACATCCTGGTGCTTTTTACTTCTGAAATTAGTGTTTTTATTCATTGCATTGGGGTGTCTTCTTGTTGTTTGTTTTGTTTTGCTTTTTTAAGACAGGATCTCATGTAGTCCAGGCTAGTTTCAAACTTGCTGTGCAGAAGATGACCTTGAACATTAAACTTCCTACCTCTGCCTCCCAAGTGCTGGGATTATGTGCACGAGCCACCAAAGCCCACTAGGTGATGCATTCTCTTGCCCTGACATCTTAGAACACTCAGGATGGGGTCTCAACTCTCTCTTGGCTTCCATCCCTGAGGAAGGACTTCATCTTCTCACATCTTTCCTGTCCCCGAGTGTGATGACTACAGAATCTCTGGTAGTGACTTCTAGGAGAATAAAGGGACCCTGCACCCCACCCAGCGTAGTGCTGGATGGTAGAGGTACTTCCTCGCTAGGCAAGCATGCTTCCTGTTGAGGCAGGGCGGACATTTTCCTGAGGGAAATGGCCCATCCAGTGGATAAGCAGCAGGGAGAGAATGGTTCTAGAATACATTTGTTTATAAGTTGGTGAATGAAGTTCTCATTAGTCCTGAGTGGGCTCTGAGTGGAGGGAGCTCCTGAATGCCTCCCTACAGGACAGGCAGATGCAGGTTCAAGGCAGCAGAGTCCTGGGGAACAACCGGCTGGAGGAGGGGTTTAGTTAACATTCTGGGTTTTGTGATGCAAATACCCCCTCCACATCAGATTTCAAATCACCGCAGTCACTTCCTGGAAATGGAGCCATCTGCTCTTGTGAGCAACTGCCGGCAGCCCCAGCTTACCGTGGTTCTGGGCCTTCAAGGTGAGCCCAGCCGCATCCTTCTCCATGCACAACTTTGAATTGCACAAACTGAGAAAAAGAACATTTAAAAGTTAGAGACAAACTAATTTCTAGGATTTTCCTCTCTCGCTCCCTCCCTCGATAGAACAAAATACGTTCTACAGCCAGCATCCTTTTATAAAGAAAGGCTATTTTAGCTGCTATGGCGGTGTAGACTCGTAATCCTAACAGTCCAGAGACCAGGGCAGGAAGACTTAGAGTTGGTGGCCAACCTGAACAAGACTGCTGTTTTCCTCACCTTGACACTAGCTAGAGTCCCTCCTTCAGAGTGGCCTGGAGGCTAGTCTGTGGGGGTGTTTCTTGACTGATAACTGCTGTGGAAGGCTCCAAACCCTGTGGTATTGCCACCCTGGGCAGGTGGTCCTGCCTGGACTGTATAAGGAAGGGAGCTGAGGGAGCTGCAGCCACGGGAGCAGCAGGAAAGGGGGCTGGAACTTGGGTCACTCATCTTCCCAAGGACAGGCTTCCCGGCTCCAGACTAGAAGTGTATTCAGAAACCAGTGGCATTTGCATAGTTTGAGGTAGAGGTTTTTCCCGCTTCCAGGAGTCAAAAGGTCATCCCTTTGGGCACCTTTGCAAGCCCAAAAAAGGAGTCTGGTAGCTTCAAGAAAAATGGCTTTCAGCTAGGCGGTGGCGCACACCTTTAATCCCAGCACTCGAGAGGCAGAGACTAGCGGATCTCTGTGAGTTTGAGGCCAGCCTGGTCTACAAAGCAAGTTCCAGGACAGGATCCAAAGCTATAGAAAAACCCTGTCTCAAAAAAAAAAAAAGAAAGAAAGAAAGAAAGAAAGAAAGGGGGAGAGAGAGAGAGAGAGAGAGAGAGAGAGAGAGAGAGAGAGAGAGAAAGGAAAAGAAAAGAAAAGGAAAGGAAAGAAAAGAAAAATGGCTTTCAAGTCTCTGAGCAGGCAACCGTTGTCACTGTGACCTCTGTTGCTATCTACAGCAAAGCCAGCAGGGGACTGTTGACCGTCTCCAAAGTCAGTGACTCCTCAGGTCAACTGAAAACAGGGTCTCCAGGGCGGGAATCTTCAGGGCTTCTTCAGGCTCCCCCTGGCTTTCTGTCCTGCCATCACAGAATCACCTGGACTGGGCTCCTAAACGGACCTCTCTTGATGCTTCATTGGCAAGAACTGGGTCGGTCACCTAAGAACACCAAAGGCCGACAGATCAAGATCTCCACGGCTGCTTAGCTCGGTCCCTGGTCCCTGGCGCCGCAGTGGCCACCAAACACCGGGGCAGGAGCACTTGAGGGCCAGTTCTGCTCCCCGGTGGGCTGCTCACCCTCAGGCCCTTCGTCATGCTCACGGTTCACTCCAAAGGTCAGGGCTGCCAGTCAGGAAGGTAGAGCCACAGAGCGTCTCTGAGGTGGCTCCGGAAGACCGGAAGAAGACTGTAGGTTTCATCTGGGACTCAGAAACTGATGGGAAAGTGAGGAAACTGGCCGGCAGACAGGACGGAGGAGGACAGGAGAGATGCTCTGGTGCAGAAGAGAACCTCCCTTCCCTGCTCCAAAGGAAGGACTCGTCCAGTTTCAAAAGAGATAACGTGAGAGAAAGAGACAGGGCTGTCTTAACTACAGGCATCTGTGTGTATACCTAGACGTGTTCCTGGCCTCAGTCTGCGAATGTAAAACAGACATTTTTTTTAAAAAATGCATCATATTTTTCTAAATTTCATTGTTTTTATTTTGTGTGCACGGGTGTTTTGCCTGCTAAGAGCAGCCAGCGCACTAACCTCTGTGGCCTCTCCAGCCCCATCTTTTTTGGGGAGAGGAGGTGGGGATGCGGCTCATGCTGTGGCTTAGGCGGCCTTCGAACTCACAAACTTCTCAGCCACCATCACATCAGTTTACATTAATGTTTTTAAGTGTATTTTATTTCCCAGCTAAGATGAGGACTAAACGTGATAGCGAAGGGCCGTAGACAATGGGGAAAGCATTCAGTATTCACTTCTGGAGTTTTATTTGTTTATTTGTTGGTTTCCAGTGTAGTAGGGTCCAGCAGGTGTCCCTTGGGGGAGAGGGAAAAGTAGGCGTGGAACCAAGGACACAGGCACAGGGAACAACAGGTTGAAATGACAAGCTCAGTTTGTTTTTAGGAAGGGGTAAGCCTTATATACCCCTGACCCTACTGGGGTGGGGGGTCCACTGAGCTGGCATCTGCTGAGGTGATGTGGTTGCTGTTCATAGGTCCATGACACGTCAAACTTGGCTACAGTTATCAAGGCCTCTGGCAGACCCAGGCTTGCTCTACTGTGCATGGTCTTAGTATCAGTCTTAGCCAGCTGCTCTCGGGCCCGTTAAGGCTTAGCCACCCCACAGTCCAGCCTGGCTTCAAACTCAAAGCAACAATCATCTGCTTCAGCCCCCTGAGTAGCTGAGATAAGGGCCATTTCCTAGGTTTTAGGACTAAGGTGCTTGTTGGAGTTGAGGACGTCCATCTCTGAGGATGCTTCTGGAAGCAGAAAGGTACAGGCGAGCGGGAGTGGAGCCCGTCATGCAGACAAATGAAAGTGGCTCTTACCCAGAGAGTAGGATTGCAAAGCAATCCATGCCTCTGTTGCATGGAGGCACTGGAGCAGGCAGAGGGCCAAGAGGGCTGGCATGGTCAGGAATAGAAATTCAGAGGTCCATCCTCTGCTGTTCGGCATGCCTAAGAACAACTCTGTTGCTTGTGACCACCCACCTTTCCCACCCCTGGTTATGTGACAGTTGTATGTAAGCGTCAGCCTCCTTAGCGTCCTTTACCACAAGATACCTTTCTAGACTGCAGTTTCTCCATTTTCATTTCTGCTGTAGATGATGTCACTGTCCACTTCTTTCCAAATTGACTGAAAGAGAGGGGGAGAGATACAGAGACAGATTTGTTTTTAATGACGTTATATGTACATATGAGCGTGAGAGCCTCAAGAGAGCATTAGATCCCCTGAAGCTGGAGTTGCAGGTGACTGAAAGCCACCGGCAGCAGGTGCTGGGAAGCAGCTCCGGGTCCCCCGACAGAATCAGCACTCCGCATCGTCTCTCCAGCCCCAGGGATAAGAAGCAGCTTCCACTTCTCTCGGCCTCCTCTGTGATCTGTCTCACATTGCTCCTCGTGTGCGGTTCCTCCAGTGCCTCTGTTTGTTATTTTTCCCATTGTTTGGTTTCCCACCCCAGAGTCTGGAGAACTCCCTAAGAAGTAATCTAGGCAAAAGAGCAAGGATTGTGTTAGAAGAGCGTCAGAAAGGGGCCTGCCACTGACCTGTGCAGGGGCTGGTTTTCGTGAGCTAGACGGAGGAGCACATCCTGCTGGATGGGTCCAGCCGCACACCGGCATGCCAGGCTTGGGAAACAGGGAATGCCAACTGCAGCGTTGCTCTCTTGTTCCCTCGTGCCATGGATAACCCGTCCGGCCAGAAGGTGACCTGTTCAGAGGAGAACCTATAGCCTTGCTTAATCAAATCCTTACTGCAAACATTATTCTCACGCACACACACACAAAAGTTCTTTTTAAAAGTGGTCTTGAACACACATCTATTTCCTCAATTTTCAGTGGCTTATAAATCCTTAAAGACCACATGATGCTACCCGGTGGTTTGCCGCTGCCAAGAGCTTCAAACCCGACACACCATGGCTTTATCTTCAAAGCCATTTCTTTGTTATTCTCTGCCATCCTCTCACATTTGTATTTCAGCAAACAATTATTGAAAAATGGATTAGGAGCCAAACTCTTGAATCCTGTTTTGTTTCTCTCCAGCTGGGCATTTTCTCTTCATCTGGCCCTGCAGTGCATCCTTGACAGTCACAGGCAAGATGTTCCAGGGCTATTCAGCCATCCCTGGGGATAGCTCCCCGCAGCTCTCCCAGCTGAGCTCAGCCTGCCCAGCGCTCCCCTGGACCACGTCGCTGTCCTCAGCAAGCCCCACGCTCACATCAGTTCATTGTGTTCAGTGTGGGCAAAGAGTCCAGTGTCATTTGAAAAAATACCTATTTATTAAACTCTACAAAGAAAAAAAGAACAATATTTCATCCGTACGCATCCTTACAGTTTAGAAAATGCTTCTAAATGTATTAGCTCCTGTAATTCTGAGTTGGAGCTTTTATCTAAAAAACAAGATTAGGGTTGTAGCCCAGTGATACAGTGCTTGACTAACACACATATGGCCTTGAGTTCAGTCCCTGGTGCTGGTGGGGGGGGGGAATAGGAAAAGGGAATTAATTCAAGCTAGTAAAATTCAATTATTCTTGAGACTGCCAAACCTGTATTTTTACCTGAGTAATAATTCATTTGTAAAACAAAACACGTAATAGGCCTGGAGAGATGATCCAGTGGTTGAAGGTGCTCATTGTTTCTCCAGAGGGCAGCTCCCATGGGGCGGGACCTGGGGAGGGGTGGGGCCTGGGGAGGGAGGGACCTGGAGAGGGGATTCTAACCCTGTCTCCAAGGATCTAGTGCTCTCTTCTGGTCCCTTGGGGCACCTGAACATATGTGGTACATGCCTGCTTTCTCATGAACATATGTGCACACACACACACACACACACACAAAATCATTTTTCAAGGGAACAAGTAAAAGATCCCCATCTATGGGCCTCAGGCTCCAGAGTAGTTCCACACCCACCCCAGTTCTGGCCATTCCGACCACTTCCTCTTTGTCTGGTCTCCAGCCTTTTAGCTTCCACACTTCACCTCTTGTCCCCTTTGAGGCGGTTCCTCCTTTCAGCTCCCTGCCCACAGTGGATGAAATGAACGTTCTAGACTCTGTGTACTAGATACCCAAGTCCATTGTGCCTATGTTGGTTTCTGGAAGATTCCCCCTTGATGTCAGGCAGTCACCCAAACCTTAGTCTGAGAGACCTATGATCTAGTCACGCAGAGCATTACCCTTCCCCAGCGTGGAGAGGGACGTAAGCTCACACCCGCCTCTCTGTCTGTGGCAGGGCTGGCATCTCCATGGCACAGAGGCAGCAGGGGGACTGTGCCTCCTCATGCAGCCAAAGCTAAACAGCATCGCCAGACACCACCCAGTGACCCCAAAGCCCAGGACCATCTGCTTTTGTCCGTCTACCTGTCAGCCCCTGCCGGCTCTTCAGTGTCTTAATCTCGTTAAAGTCCTCAGACCCAGTTTCTCCCCAAATTTCATGACTGCTTTTTAGTTCTGGATTCATTCGCAATCAGCATCTCTGCTGTGGGATCTTAGGGGACTTTTTCTCTCAAGCCTTATCTTGGTCTTCCCCAGGTGTGTCACACCCACAACTGAGTTCACTCACACTCTACGGCAGGCAAGCTAGACAAGCCACCATTGCTTTACAATTGTCCCCAGGGCTGCCCCTCTCACCTTCTAGGACTTTCTAAGATCCCCCATCTGATCTTTACTCCAAAGCAGAGAGTCTCAGCTAGGGCACACGTTACTTGGAACCTCATCAAGGTCCACCCCTTGACTCCCACCCTAGGATCTGGACTGAAGCAGAATTCCTGGGATGTGGGCCTGAGCATAGGTGTTTTGATTTTAGGGTGTTTGTTTGTTTTAGGTTTGGGGTTACTAATGAGAACATCACCTGCCTTTCTCTTTGCAAATTCACACATTGCCATTTCCTGAAGCTGACATCCAGGGTGCTGTATGGAATGCCAAGCACAAAGCTTAACAGCAAAACTGTCTCCCCTCATCCTCCTTAGGTCAACCCTGGAGAACCTTTGTGAGGTCCCCATCACCCCAGCTCACTGTGAATGAATGGCTGCCATCTCATTCCACGTAGATCCAGTTCCCTTTATGTTTACGGTGTCTAGCCTGCAGTAGACAGAAACGGAATGGTTTGTTGATAATCAAAAGAACTTAGAATTTTGCTTTGTTTTTTAAGATTTTTTCAAATTTTTAAGTGTGTGTGTGCGCGCGCGTGTGTGTGTGTGTGTGCACATGTGTATGTGAGTATAGAACCTGAGAGCCAGAAGGATTGGATCCCCTGGAGCTGGAGTTATAGGCAGCTGAGAGCTGTGTCCTGTGGGTACTGGGGATTTGAACCTGGGTTCTCTGGAAGAGCAGTACAGTGCTCTGAAGTGCTGAGCCATCTCTTCTGTCCCAGAACTTAGATTTTTTTTTTTTTGGCTTTCACTTTCCTTTGATATGAAACTTAATTAAATACACTGTTAAAAGCAGTATATTTTTGAAGCTGCCAATCCTTCTGTGTTTTTTACCTGAGTAATAATTGGTTTGTAAAATGAAATTATTGCGGGGTGAAATGGGAGAAAATATTCGCTTAGCTGGGGAGAGGAAGCTGCGCTGCCTACCCAGTGGGCAGCCCTAGTGTGGATTTCTGTGCAGTCTGCTTGGCTCTGTGGATCTGGGAATCTTAAATCCGAACTCATCCTCACTCAAAACTTCCTGCGGGAAAACTCATCAGTGTCTCCTTTGCACAAAAAGCACCCAGTGGAAGTCCCAGCGGGAAGACGAGGCTGGATAAACACCAAGTTCAGTTTTGATCTTGTAGCACAGGTTTGACATCCTTCACCCATCTAGACTCTGCTCCTACCCAGTTGCAACACTGATTCATCATTGAGTCCTGCAGAGCTGCTGACCCCAGGCTTCTCCACAGGGACAGCTATGCCCAGTGTTGTGCTCAACACCCTTCTTATAGGATTCCATTTAACCCTTGGCTCCATTCCTTGAGATGGGGACTGCCGTCATCCCCAGCTGAGAGAACAGACTCAGAGAGATAACCAGACACGGTCCAGTTCAGCTAGCTCCAGCATCCAGCACCCGTTCCTCTTCTCCATGTCTGCATCACGCCTCTCCATGGCCCCGTCTTTGCAAGGATCTTCCCACTCTTTGGGGTTACCCTGGCATCTGAGAGGTACGGCCCCTTCAGTGCTTCTTCCTCTGTCTCTTGGCTTTGCGTGCCTCTCCTAGCTCACAGACTGTCCCAGAGCTGTTTGATTTACGGTGTTATTTCTGGCACTTACTCTGAGGGTGTGAGATCAGTAGATAACATGTCTGTGTCAAGGTATGACCCCTTAAACTTGTCCGCATTTAGTCTTCACAACAACTCTGGGTAGTAGAACTCTTCTCAGTTTTATAGATAAGAGCTCAGAAAGGTTAAGCAATTGGCTCAGTTCCCAGAGAAGAAGAAGCGGGAGCCTCATTTTATGCCTAGGCATCCACCTCTCCCAGCCCTGTTGCAGTGCAGTAATAGGACACTAGGGAACTTGTGCTCTTCCCAGCCTGCGATTCTGCCCTGGGCCTCCCTTCTCCAGTCACCATTACCCTGTCACTTTCCCCACAGCCACCAGCCCAGAGCCGATTACTGCCACTACTGCAGTCATTAGAAAACCTACAAATTGGCAAACCCTCCAAACCAAAGATTAAAAATAAGGATGATTTTACCAGCCGGAGAGACGGCTCAGGGGGCAGAGCACCCGCCCGCTCCGCCCAAGGACCCGAGTTCAATTCCCAGCCCGGCACCACATGTAGTTCCATGACCGTCAGTCCAAACAAACAAACAAACAACCCTTTAGGGAGTTAGATTTCTGTCCTTTCACGTACATTGCAGTTTGGGGAGCACACACTACTACAGCCCCACCGACCACACGAGGCAGCCGGCCGAGGCTCTCTGGGTGTCTAGCCTTGTCTGTGGCTCTACGTAGCAGGCCCCGGGTCGGCTGCTTCCACTGGTTTGCCACCATCCTTTCTATAACCTTCACATCTTACTGCTAATGTAGGTGTGTCTCCCTGGGGCCTGTCTGTGCAGGTGTGTGAGGGTCTCCACAAGTCCTACAACTAGTGTAGAGTCACACGTGGCTGTGGGATGAGGGTCTCCACAAGTCCTACAACTAGTGTAGAGCCACACATGGCTGTGGGGTGAGGGTCTCTCCACAAGTCCTACAACTAGTGTAGAGCCACACATGGCTGGGATGAGGGTCTCCACAAGTCCCAGAACTAGTGTAGAGCCACACGTGGCTGCAGGATGCCTACTGACACAAGACAAATGTCTTCAAAGCAAATAAAAGCAATTATTTTTGGCAGACTGCACAGACTCAACAATAGGGCTTCTCAGAATATTAAGATTTCCTGCTCTTCTGGGAACCCTGGAACAAAGTAGTTTGCTGAAGATTCTCAGATGCGCTGCCAAGAAGAAGGGCTCCCTGGCAGGGGAGTTCTGTGTACTATTTAAAGAATGGACCTTATACAAGAGAACCAGTGCGATATGGCCAGGGTTTTTACTGAGGACAAGGAGGGTGGCCATGTGGCAGAGTCAGACAGGAAATGAAGCTGTGTTCAAAACAACACTGGCCATTTGCCCTGTTTGGAAATTCCATTTAAACTTATTGAATTCATTTTGAGTGCTGTGAATTATTTATTAACGCTCTATATTTAACTTGTTAAATGAAGAATGTGTTCCTGTAAGGGAAAGCCTGTTTCAGTCTATTGCAGATCGTCTTGAGACGTATTTCTAAAAGTTAGAGCACTGTCCCAAGGTGCCCAGTGAAGAAATCAAAACTTTTCTACTCATGTTATCTTTGCGGTCATTTGGACTCATGGTGGCTGTGCATTTGCTTCTCTTCCCTTGTCATCCCTTTTCCCTCTTTTGCTCGTCTTTCTAAATTCATACAGAGGCAGTGACTCCCTCTGAGTCTGCTAGTGTGGTAGAGGCAGACCATCTGGGAAGTGTAGTTACCATGGGTGACCGGCTACAGTGACAGCCCAGCACAAAGTTTGTAATTATCCGATATCATCTAGGATCAGATCCTGAGGCAAGGCAAGGAGGTCTAAGAAAATAGACCTTGATCCATCCACTAGAGCCAACTGGGATGTTTTGTTCATTTTGAGACAGAGTCTCATGTAGCCCAGACTGGCCTCAAACCAGCTATGTAGCTGAAAATGACCCTGAAGGTCCGGTTCTTCTATCTCCCCGTCCCAAGTCCAGGGATTCTAGGCGTGCACGACACATGACACACCAGGCTATCTGTTCACTGAACACTTTACTGTGCCTACCTCCGTGCATAGTAACAGCTGCTCAGCATGAAAATTTCCTTAGGGTCAGATTTTTTTTTAAAGTCATTTAATTTTTCTGGCAGTTGGTGATGCAGATTAGGCATCACTAGTTCAAAACTCCAGAACTCTTCTGAGTACCAAGATGATACCGCAGCAGTCAATGCTGCAGAATTTGCTATATGCACAAAATCATTGAAAATATTGAATAAAATTACCTTCAGGCTATGGCTATAGAATGCATATTCTGAAACACATATGCGTTTCTTATTTATACTTGAATCCCATCTTCCAGATCTCATTGTGAGCATGTAAATTTTCCAAAATTTGGAAAATCCAAAGTTCAACACACTCTGTTCTCAAGGAATAATCAGTCAGGAGTTGGCCTTCAACTGTCTGCTTAGGGGACTAGAGCGATGGCTCAGTGGTAGAGAACACCTTATTGCTGTCTCAGAGGAGCAGGGTTCAATTCCTAGCACCCACATGTTGATTTATAGCCAGCAGTAATTCTTACTCCAGGGGATCTGATGCCCTCTTCTGCCCTTCTCAGGTAACAAGCACCATGTGATGCACAGGTATACATTCAGGCAAAACACTCATAAAATAAAATGATTAAATACAATTTAAACTGTTTCAAGTCTGCTTAGGTTTTTGTTTTATCCCTTTATAATTGTTCCATATCTTCCAATATTCTGTCTGTTCAATGCTCTGTAAGATCAATTTAACAGAGATAAGTGTCTTGAGATGTAGTCTACAGGATACAAGTAGACCTCTACAAATACTACTCTATACACAGTTGGTGCTCAACAAATACTAAATATTACAACAGGGGGATACTTTAGAGCTTTGCTAGTGGAAACAATGGGAGCATGAGGTTAGAAGGAAGAAAAGTGGAAGAGCAGAATGTTCTCAGCATGGACAACAGGCCAACTGGTCAATCTCTTTAATATTTTGTAAGCCTTAGATGAAATAGAAAAATAAAAATTGACAGTCTATAAAATAAATCAATAGCGCATGTGATAACATATCTACCCTCATACATAATAAAAATGTAATAAAACATGAAGTATATCAGAAAGAGAAAAGTTATAAATTACTAATGTCAGACAGAACGGCATTACTGCCTAAGTGGTACACATTGAAAGAATAGCCAAGCGATGTGAGGAAAATCTGTACACAAGAGTGCCTGCCATGAACGACAGAACCACTACAGACAAGCAGAAATGGCAGTTGGAGTCAGCCATCATCTAGGAAATAAATGCAGTTAGTCATCGACAACCTTTCAAAACAGAAAGCACAGATATGCTTAGGGGTCGAATCTACACATTTAGGGAGATCTCACCAATTTTCCCATCTTTTCCCAAAACCAGAAGCCTACAGGACACATCCTAACTTACGCTGAGACTGGCCGCAGTGAAAGAAAAAAAAGCTGTGGTGTCTTCTGTGCACAGACACCAGAATCTTCCTCAGAATATTAGTAACTTGGTTCTGACAATGCATAAAACAGTTATATAACCATGGTCACACGGGTTTGATTTCAGCCACATGAGGCAGGTTCAGTTTGCTCCAAAGTCAAGTAATGACCCAATTACTTATTGGTTAATTGATTTTATTATGATAAGTGTGTGCCTATAATCCCAGCACTTGAAAGCTAGAGACAGGAAAACCAGACTGATCTTGAGATCGGTCTCAGTTATGCTGTGAGTTCAAGACTACCCTGGGGTACATGAGACACATCCCCAATTTATACAGTGCTGGGCATCAGTTCTAGAATTTTATGTATTTGAGGCAAGTTCTCTACTGACCAGCTTACATCTGCCTTTCTTTTCTTTTTTAAAAAATTTATTTGTTTATTATGTTTATATGTATACATATGCCTACATATGTACCTGCATGCCAGAAGAGAGCATCAGATCTCATTATAGATGGTTGTGAACCACCATGTAGGTGCTGGGAATTGAACTCGGAACCTCTGGAAGAGCTGCCAGGGTTCTTAACCTCTGAACTATCTCTTCAGCCCCTGCCTTACTGATTTCTAAAACAGAAAAAGGACCAGAATTGACAGTTCCCTAAAACCAGATGCGCAGATGGCAAACACATACATGAAAGGGGACCCAGCCTCATAGGTCACAAAGACAGACCTAATGCTCCTATTAAAAACGGTTCAAATCCAAATCCTTAACTAAACCAAATGCTGGTGAGACTGTAGAGCAGAAGAACTCACCTTCCTTGCCGGTGGGCGCAAAGGGGTACAACTAGAAGACTGGGTAGAATATTATTTTAAGGGATGTTACTTTTATTTATGCTTAGGAACATTTGTTTAATGATGCAAACATGTGTCTGGTTAAATAAAATTCACCTGCGGTCAGGAGGCTGACTCAGCAGTAACTAGCTGACAGGAAGTCGTAGGGAGGAGCCAGATGAAGAAGAGTTTTTAAGGAGCTAGGAGAAGCAGGAAAACGTCTTGGGGGACACGAGGAGGTGAGCTGCCTGCTATTCAGCCTCTCTGGGGAGCAGACTTCTACGTCAACCTTTAAATCTTGAGTTCTTTTGAGGAGCAGAATTTCCTCAGGCTGCAGTTCTTGCTGCCTATCCAGTGTTGGTTAGGCGCAGTAGCTTCAAAGGCAGCAACAATGAAAAAATGAGGACCACAGGAGACAGACCAGTTGTTTCCCTAGAAACCAAACAGTCTTACCCTACAGCTAGGCAACTGTGCTTGCTGATACAACCCGACGATTGATACTTACTCGGGAAGGGCAGGCTGGAATGAGTGGGAGGAATGACTGCCTGGATTTCTCAGGGAGAAAAGGTGGGTGTCGAGGTCAAACACAGGGGGATTTCTGGGAATGAAATTCCACTCTACAGCACTATGGTGGGAGGCATTTAAACAATTACTAAAACCCCCAGAACGGAAATTGTTTTAATTACATTTGTTTACCATGCATGTGGGGGTCGGCTCTCAGAGTCAGGTCTCCCTTCTACTGTGTGGGGCCCAGGGAACGAACTTGGATTGTCAGGCTTGGCAGCAAGTACGTGAGCTCAAAATGCATGGAACGTTCTAGCACAAAGCATGAGTCCCAGTGTAAACTCCAAACTTCAGTTAATAAAATGCCAATAGCAGTTTGTCCTCCAAGCTTCGGGATGCCAGGGTCACCTTGGTGATAAAATGTCACTTGTGCTGAACACAAGTATGGTAATGTCAACCTGGATCTAAAGCTGTGAGCGTGTGGGCTATCGGTACAGCCCTAACAGTGTTCTAGTGTCCCTAGTCCTTAACAAAGGATAGGAGCCTTGTTGTTTGCTGTATTGAGACAGGGTCACAATACATTATCCAACCTGGCCAGGAACTCTTTCTGTTTGTTTAATTTTTATTTACTTTTGGAGGCTGGAGAGGTGGCTCAGTGGTTAAAGAGCACTGGCTGCTCTTCCAGAGGTCCTGAGTTCAATTCCCAGCACCCACATGGTGGCTCACAACCATCTACAGTGAGATCTGATGCCTTCTTCTGGCATGTAGGCTTGCATGCAGACAGAACACTCATCTAAAAATATATATAAATAAAATTTTTATAAAAGAAAAATTTATTTACTTTTATTTTATATGCTTGAGTGTTTCTGCCTGCACGTATGTCTGTCTATACATGTGTTTGCATGGTGGCCATGGAGGCCAGAAGAGGGCGTCATATCCCCTAGAAGTGGAGTTACAGCCAGTTGTGGGTTGTCATGTGGGTTCTGGGACTCAAACCCTGGTCCTCTGCAGGAGCAGGAAGTGCTTTAACCACTGAACCATCTCTTTCTGCAGCCCCGCGAGCCGAGAACTCTTGAATTCAAGTGATCCTCTCCCTCAGTCTGAGCATCAGGAAGCAAAGATCTTTTTGTTTTAAAGATTTATTTATTATGTATACAACATTCCTTCCATGTATGCTTGCATGCAAGAAGAGGGTACCAGATCTCATTATAGATGGCTGTGAGTCACCATGTGGTTGCTGGGAATTGAACTCAGGACCTCTGGAAGAGCAGGCAGTGCTCTTTACCTCTGAGCCTTCTCTCCAGCCCCGGAAGCAAAGATCTTTAAGTTCATCTTCAAAGTGTAATATGTGTAAACCCAGCCATCACCGTGAAACTAAACCACAAAGCTCTGCCCAGCTGTGAAAATTAAAATACACAAAATCAGTGACCAGATCCTTCTATTGGTGCGCCAAGTACTCAATCATCTACAGTCACCAAAAATCACCACACATAAAGCCGATTAGCACACAGTATACTTAGGAGGTCCTTGGGTTTAGGGAAACCTGCTTTCGGCATCTTACAAAGACAAATGAGAATTTCTCAAGGACTCTGAGTATTGGATAGAAGTGTAGATTTTTGCCACGGTTTGGGAGGCGACACCCTGTCAGCATCCACCCTGGCACTGGAACACCCTGAGAAATCCTCAGACTCACCTATCACTGCCTTCTTGCAGAAGCACGTGGGATTCCAGTCAGGCTGAACCACTCTGCATGTTACCTAGGAAACCATCATTGGTTTTTTTTCTCCAGCTAGAAGAAAAAGGGTGAGTGGAGAACGGCTTCAGAATCCTCTATTACGGGCTGTTTTGTAGCTCCACGGGCCTCACTGCTTGCCAGTCTTTTATCCCCTGCTCCAGTTTGATCTGGATCAGCACTGTCCTACCACTGCCCAGGCACACACAAGGCAATATCGGCAAAGCCTCGGACTGTTGGGTTTTCATCTGCGCTTGCTGCTTTGTGTTTTGTGCATGTGTTTGGAGCCAATGTTTAAAAATCAGGATATAGCTCATAAAGCCTTTATCCGCTGCCTATTCCTTTGAAAACCCAAAGTACCTGGTTGTCCTGAAGCTGTAGCTTCTCAGGGGGTACTCTGCCACAGCAGAGTGGCTGGACACTTGGCTGGGGCACAGGATTTCATTAAGACTGCTCATCAAGTCCAGCAACAAGGCCCGGACCGTTCCCTGCTCTTCCCAACCCTGAGCGCTAATCTCCCTTCACCAGCAGGACACTCCCCTTCCTGTGGGAAGTGTTCCCTTTTCCCACATCTGGATGAGAAGTGGAGAGACAATGAAAAGGTTAAGGAAAGCCAGGTTCTGTAGCACAGGACTATAATCTTCGCCACTCAGAGGATGATGAGTTCAAGGCCAACTTGAACAACTTACTGAGACCCTGTCTCAAAAAGTAGAAAAGCAGGTTATGGATACAGCTCAGTGGCGGAATGCTTACCTGGCGTGTGCAAAGCCCTGGGTTCAATCAGCACTAAAACAGATAAACAAACAGATGGATGGATGGATAGATAGATAGATAGATAGATAGACAGATAGATAGATGATAGATAGATTGACAGATAGACAGATGATAGGTAGATGAATATTGTATTAAGGCAAGCATGGTGACCTTAGCATTTAGGAGGCCAAGGGAAGAAAATTGTAATGAGTCTGAGGCTAACCTGACCTACATAGTGAATACCAGGCCAGCCAGGTCTACATAGTGAGACTCTGATTAAAGGGAAAAAAAAAAAAAAGATCAGTCTTGGAGTGAGTGTGCAACAGGAAGCCAGCTACTGAGACATGACCCTGCTCATTCCCTCGACATTTCCTCATTTCTGCTCCCTGCAGCTTTGCAACTCCAAGTCCGGCCTCTAGGGACCCGTGTTGCTGGAATGTGTGCTGACTCTGTCTTCACTCCCAACTCGCTCCCTCTTTAATCGACCTGTCTGTCATGCATCTGGAAGTTAAGGTTCTCGGTGACTCTTAATCACTCCTCCACACTGACCTTCCTCATTCTCCCCTTCAGTCCTGATTTCTCGTCTACACATGGGCCGTCATGTTTGTTTCTAAATTCGATAGTAAGTGCTATCTGTACACTGTGATTCTTCACATAAACGCATCAGAACACCCTGGCTCTTCCTCCCTAACCATCCCATACTCCTTAGAGCTAGTGGAACCATGAAATAATTTAGCCAATTACCTATAGGAAAAGAAAGAAACAAACAAAAGAAAGAAGAAAGGCCATGGTCTTCAGCCAGTAGTCTTGAAGCCTTTCAGTGAGTGCCCAGCGCCAGGCCCACAGCTTCGCTCATCTCTCTGCTGGAATTCCTTTACCTGATTGAGATGAGGCAAAAGTTCTCTTCCACTCTCTCCAGTCTCTTTACCATAACTGATCACTTAAAAATAAGAGATTTGGGCTGGGTGAGCCGGTGCATGACTATACAAAGCCTGGAAGCAGGGAGAGCAGGAGTTCTAGGTACCTGAGCCCTTGTCTCTAAAAAGAGCAGAGGCAGGAGGATTGGGAGTTCAAGGTTTGATTACATAGGGACTTCTGTGCAAGACTATACGCGAGTGTCTGAAGCGGGAGGAAATCGGGTGTCAGTTGTTGTTTTGAGACAGCAGTTGGACGATTTGGCCCATGCCTTTAATTCCAGCACTCAGGGAGGTAGAGGCAGGTGGATCTCTGTGAGTTCAAGGCCAGCCTGGTTTACAGTGTGAGTTTTAGGACAGCCAAAACTACACAGAGAAACCCTGTCTTAAAAAAAAAAAAAAGACAGCAGCTTGGTGTGGGAGAATTGTCTGTATGTATTCAATCATATTTTAATAAAACGCTGATTGGCCAGGCAGGCAGTATAGGCGGGAAAACCAGACAGGAAGTAGGGGTGGAGCAATGAGGACAGGAGAATTCTGGGAAGCAGGAAGGTTCCTCGCCACTCCTGTGCAGACCACCAAAGAGGCAGCGTGTGAAGCTGACTGCTGGAAAAGGTACCAAGCCATATGGCTAACATAGATCAGAATAATGGGTTAATATAAGTTACAAGGGCTAATAAGAAGCCTGACCTAATGGGCCAATCAGTTTATAATCTTATGGAGTCCTGTGTGTGATTTTCTCTTTGGGGCATGCCGGTTGTGGGGTACCGGGCAGGAAAGAATCCCCAACTAGCCGGCCCTCATGTTACAGCAGCTCATCCTCTGTATCCCAGGCTAGCCCTGTACTCAATGATCTTGTCTTCATCTCCACGGAGCTATGTATCCCAGGCTAGCCCTGCACTCATGATCTTGTCTTCATCTCCATGGTGCTTTGAAAGAGGTGTGAATCAAGCCTCTCTGTCTCGCGCTACCGTCTCGCCAGCAAGAACCACGCGGTACACATAGGATACTTTTGCAGTAAAGCTTTAATGCCCCTTGGGAGAGCGGGCATCAGCCAACATGGCGGAGACCCAGATAAGATGGAACCCATCCCTTATATAGGAAACAGACCCTGCTTTGGACGTGTCATTCTTGGATTGGTCAACTGCTCCCAGTCCCAGGTGATACCTTGGGAGTAGTGGAAAAATACCAACACGTGTGAGCTTTCTAGCTCACCTGGCGGTGTAGCGCCATCTATGGTGGAGAGTGTGGTTGCGGCCTTCTACATCTCCCCCTAATTTTACTTCTTTGCAGAAAGGCAACTCCCTCAAAAGGTAAAGATAGAGGTCGCACTTCCCAAAATGAAAACATTAAAATGGGCTTACACGGAATCTGTCCCTAGGCTCATGACACCTGGAACCTATCCGGCCTGCCCTCTGCCAATTTTCTGGGAAAGGGAAATATACGGCAGGAAACCCTTATGCAGAGCGACTTATCTCTCAGAGAGGGCCATTCTCTGTGCGATGCTTTTCAGCTCCATAACCTTCAGGGCTAGCTAAGCCAAGCACTCCACCCTGTGCCATGGACCACAGTCCTAGGGGTGCAGGAGCTGGTTGGCTTAAACCTTACTGCTTTAACATAGATAACCACATATCAGTAGAAGCTCCCTGTTCCAGGGCAGCCAGCGCTGTGCAAAAACCATTTTGTCCCTATGGCTTTGGGATTAGAGTCAGCAGACCATCCAGAGGAGAAACACTATTCCATAGCAGGACCGTTCCAAACATTCCAACCCCCACCCATTCTTTGAAGTAGGAGATGAAGGACATAATCCAGGACTGGAATCCTTTGGCCAGGCTTATGTCCACTCGCATGGAGTTGATTGTTACGATGGACCGTCTCAAGGAGGACAGCAAATCATCAAAATTCTCCTGCAAGATATAAAGACAATTCTCGGGATAAGTTAGCCATTTTTATAAAGTTCTCATATGGTACACTGGTCATACATAAGGCTGGAGTTTTCCATACATAGCCCAATTGGGCAAGCTGCCATAAGCTATCCATCTGTTCTTGCATTAGGTCAATTCTTTAATTAAGAATCATTATTTTACCTCTAATAGATGTATCCATGGTAGCCTGCTGATCCAGGGCTGTAGCCACTGTGGTAGATAACTGATTGAGGGTCTCTGTTTTTCATGATATAGGCCGTGCTGTCCCAGTGGCGCCTAGGAAAAACCCAGGCCCTGTTTGTTGATATTAGGTTTAAGATTTATTGGCTCCCGTATTCCTTGCCGGTACGGTGGCCTCGGGCTCCAGAGCCCGCCCGCCATCCAAGGGCTGTGTGCGGCCCTGGGCCTGCTTGCTGCGCGGATCCCCATGTCCCAGGCCATGCGCGGATCCCCATGTCCCAGGCGGCTCCACCCCCAGGCGCCCCTGCCTTCCCCGCGGGGCTAGCCTAGTTCTCTGAGGCTGTGTTGGTGGCGGAGTGTGGCGGGAGCCAACACTCAGACCGAGGCGGCACAGGCGGCAACATCTCAAGGTCCGCGCCAGAGCCGCTGCGGCTCAAGGGGCCGATGGGAGAGGCGGCGAACAGGGCCGCTTCCCTACTAGCCAACTCTCAACACCTGTGCCACAGCAAAAGCGGCTGTAAACTCTCACAGATCCAGCCAACGACCCAATCACCTCAAAATCCAAGGGCCCTTCGCGTCCACCTCCCTGCGGAACCCGAAACATCAGACAAGCCAAGCGTATACATAGCAATCTTTTAGGAGGACTTGAGTTCTTTAAAATGTTAAGCAGTTCTTAAAAACTTAAGTCGCACTATGTAGATGTAATACGGTACTGCCTGTTTATTGCGTCTAAACCTTAATTGCGCTTTTATTATGATAAATATGACCAGCCCTGCCTGAAGTCAGCATCGTTTAGCATAGCCAAATGGAATCAAAGCCATTTTACCCTCAGAGACCAGCACAGTTTTAGGTACATTGTAAGCCTTTTGGCCCGGCTGCCTGTGGCACCGCTGTGACATCCTCCAGGCCAGGCACCAACCGAGCCGCACCAATTGAGCCGGCGCAACGTGCCCCCCACCATAGCCACAGAGCAAAGCTCCGTTCCAGCCGCCCTCCAGCCCCAGCTGCACCCACTCTGAGCCCAAACCGGTGTACGGAGCAAAGCGGAACTCAGAGAAGCAGGCTTGAAAGGACCTCATTTAATCTTTTAGGGAATTTGGGCGTCGTTAGTCTCTCTGGCTGCTTCCTGCTGTTATTGGGCTGCTGAATTTTAGGGGTATACATTACAACATTTCAGGAGGTCTCGGTGATTCAAACCATGTGGATCTCAAGCACATACTTAGGCTCCCATCCTCCGTGGAGGCGAAAACAGAACCTCTCCTCCAAAACATCATATTCTTAAGCCCATGTTTTAAATTTAAACTACCTTTTTTAGCAGTTTGTAAATTTAAATATCTTTCTCCTGTCCAGTACATAAAAAACAACATGAACAACATAACATAAAGCTTTTGACCTTGTAAATCAGCCTTCTCCCCCATTTTTACTTTTTTAAAATCATTGGGGGGTCCTTTTTAACTTATTTTCTTTTTTGTCTCCCCCATTTTTTACCGGAGGGTCATTTTTTAACTTATCTGGGTGCACGCACAACCTCCCATTGCTGCTCAGTTTCTGATATGCTCTCTGGACTTTAGAGCGTACCTCTCTGAGTATGCATGCCTGCAGTTTTGAATCCTCCTTGTGTCCAAGGGGTCTCCGGCGGTGCAAAGTTCTTCTTCTTCTTCCCGGGTTTCGGCACCAGATGTCTCGCGCTACCGTCTCGCCAGCAAGAACCACGCGGTACACATAGGATACTTTTGCAGTAAAGGTTTAATGCCCCTTGGGAGAGCGGGCATCAGCCAACATGGCGGAGACCCAGATAAGATGGAACCCATCCCTTATATAGGAAACAGACCCTGCTTTGGACATGTCATTCTTGGATTGGTCAACTGCTCCCAGTCCCAGGTGATACCTTGGGAGTAATGGAAAAATACCAACACGTGTGAGCTTTCTAGCTCACCTGGCGGTGTAGCGCCATCTATGGTGGAGAGTGTGGTTGCGGCCTTCTACACCTCTCCAGTGGAATAAATATTGTAAGCTTTGCAGTTGGGGTCCATCAAGATGGCTCAGTGGGCAAGGCTCCGTGGGCAAGGGCACTTGCTACCAAACCTGATTTGACCTGAGTTTGATCCTCAGAAATTACATGATGGAAAGAGAACTAACTCCAGCAAGTTTTCCTCTGACCTCCACAGGTTCACTGTGGCAAACACACAAGACATACACACCACACACACACAGTCACACACACCACACACACACAACAAACACACACGATACACACACACACAAGACACACCCATGACACACACATGTAAACAAGACACACACGCACACGACATACACAGTCACACACACATGACACACATGCACACACACAGTCACATACAATACACACAAACAAATAGATCTTTTAGATTTTTGAAGATCTGTTTTGTATGCATGAGTGTTTTGTTTGCCTGTATGTCTGTATACCATGTGTGTGCCTGGTGCCCATGGAGGTGAGAAAAGGGAGAAGAAGAGCTGCAGTTATGGATGGTTGAGAGCTGTCGTGTGGTTCCTGGGAACTGAACCTGGATCCTCTGTAAGAGCAAAGGATGTTCTCAATCACTGAGCCATCTCACCAGCTCCTGCCACGCTCCCCCACTTTTTTTTTTAACAAAAGAAAAGAGATTAGGCACAGTGGCACAAGCCTTTAATCTTCAGAAGGCAGAGGCAGATGGATTTCTGAATTTGAGGCCAGTCTGATCTACATAGAAAGTTTCAGACCAACCAGGGCTACAGAGTGAGACCCCGTCTCAAAAATCAAACAAAACAAAAGAAAGAAAAAAATTGTAGGCATTTAAAACACTGATCCTGTGCACTGGAAAAGAAACGGAGGAAACTGATCTGAAGTTGACAGAGTGCTGCTCCACTTCCCCCTTCCACTCTGTGCCTCCAAACTCTAGTGTCTCCAAACTACAGAAAGGGACACTAGGTGGTTAACCCAGAGTCTGCTCACCCCAGAAGCAGCTTGGCTCATAGTGACCAGGGACTCCACAGCCTCGTCCTGAGGACCTAGAGCCAGCTTTGCTGGCATCCGTGTCAGAGGTCTCTGCCAGGCTTCGGAACTGCTGTCAACAGAGTCTGACAGCTCTGGCCTCTCATTAGGGCAGGAATGTGGAAAAGCCCTGATGGTCCGTAGGAACCTGTCAGATCCCATGGTCAAGGCCCCTAGAAAAGAAAGCCTTGGCCTGAAGGTGATAGTCGGGTTGAGTTCGTTTAGGTCTCTAGACCAGATGTGTAGAACAGATGGGTCCCGATCTGTATTGGCATGGCTAGTCTCTTGGCTTAGCCGAGGTGAACTGAGGAGCTGGCATCTGGGTTCATCCTGTGGCCCAGAGATGAGCCAAGTTTTCACCTTATGAACTCCACCAAAGAGGAAGCCCCAACCACTGCCCTGGAGCAGCCCCAGAGGCTGCGCCACCCACTGCCACTCAAGGAAGTGCTGACTCTCTCCACAGGGCAAGGATGACTCGGCAATGAGAACAAAGCTAAGCGGAGCTCCTCACCCTTTTCTCCTCTGGCCTTCCTTCCTCTTTCCTCCTCTGCGCCCAGCGATGGAGGGACAGGACAATAGGATCTTCCTTGCGCGGACATGTAAGTATGCACCCCTCCCCCAGCACACACACACCAGGCACAGCCCCCACCGACAAAGAGGGGCTCGGGCCTGTGATAGCCACCATGAAACTCACACAAAACATGCGGCGCCTCTTGCCATTCAGAGTGATAATCAGCGCCTGCTCTCATTTTCTTTAACAAACATTCTGTCAGGCCAGGGTTGCAGGATTTTCTGAGCCCACTTCCTCCTAAAATATCAGTCTGTGGCCAATCAAACTCCCCCATGTGACAGTTTCACCTTCAGACTTTGCTGGCTCCCGGGGTGCTCTAAGCCCCCAGGGTTTGAAAGGGTTCCCCCAGGAAAGTAATCCTAAGAAAACCTTACATAAATGAGGTAAAAGTTTCCCCAAGATCCTGACTCTGTGATCCAGAATTCCTTCACAGATTTCTAAACCCACTGCCCCTAGACATGCTGGTAGTGACATACCGGAAACCGGCACAAGTCATTGGTGTCAGGCTCTGTTCCCCTCCAAATCAAAAGTCAAAACCTCCTCTTTGCTGCAGTGTTTCAGTTGTCGCAGAGGTCACCCTGTAGGCATGGAACAGGTGTGGGTTCAGTTTCCTGCTAAGTGCCAGGGTAGGCCAGGTGGGAGGTGGATTCATCTGGCGCGGCCATTTGAGAGGTATTTTCCTCCACGGACACTGCTTGCTAGTCTGTAGGTGGCACTAAAGGTAGCAATGGATGTAAGATGTCTCTGTGTAAAAGAGGTTCTCAGGAAATGGCAGCTGCACCTGTTGATTCTGTAAACCAGGGGGACTGGACCTAGAACGTTCAGAATTACTATTGCAGCCTAAAAGAACACGGAGGTCTTGTGTGGGGGCTGAGACCTGCAGTCCCTCCGAGGCTCCTTGATAAGGCAGGAAGGCTGGTGTCCTCAGATAACACAGCAGCCTGCGACAGAGGGAAAGTCAGGCACGAGTGATTCCTGTGTGACCTGAGGTAGAGGCCAGCCGAGTGCCTGGCCTGGGGAGGTTGCCACAAGTCTCTGCCCCTGCTGGGTGACTCTGACTGGAGACAGCCCAGGGGCTGCAGACCTCAGAACCAGAAAATAAGATCTTTCCTTCAGCATGTATTTTAAGTCAGATCCTTAGAGCATCACAAAGTTTACAAGAAACATTTCTTTGTCCTTCGCTGTTTTTTGTCATGTGTTTTATGACCCTGGTGCCAAGCACTGTGCCAGGAGAGAGGCCCCGGAGGGATGTTTATCTGGAAAGGAAGAATGACACGCACCAAGGAACACCAAGTTGTCTCCTTCCTGAATAAACCAGTTCCACGTCCCAGAATTTAGCTGTGAATAGCATTTGAAAATGCTGGAACCTTTTCTATGGAAAGGCAGAGCTGCCAGAGGCCAGTGAGTTAGAAAATGACTGTATCGGTGAGCCCACTCTGTGGGCTCAGTAAGTTAAGGCTTAGCATTTTGGTTTTGGGAAAAAGAAGGCTTTTCACCAAGGAAAACCCAAGTTGCCACTGTTAGAGTTAATTAATAATGCCACTTTAAAGCACTAATTTTTAAATATCCAGACATTTTTTGCTTGTTTGCTTGCTTTGGACTTTTCAGACAGGGTTTCTCTATGTAGCTTTGGAGCCTGTCCTAGAACTCGCTCAGTAGACCAGGCTGGTCTCGAACTCACAGAGCTCCACCTGCCTCTGCCTCTGAAGTACTGGGATTAAAGACGTGCGCCACCCAGCAATATCCAGACTCTTAAAATTGTCAGTAGAGGGCTTGAATAGGACAAGTTGGAGGTGAAAATGGAAAGCCATTTGTTTTTCGGAGAAAAGTTTACAGTGCCAATTGTGGCGTGAAAGCAAAGGGATGCCCGTCATCAGCTTCTGCTGCCCGCGTCCTCTTGGGTATGCTTTTAGGCCTATGGATGAAGCATTTTTGTTTCTGAGTTTTTGACATAGGGTCTCATTATGTAGCTCTAGATTACCTGGGACCATGCTGGCCTTGATTCCCCGTCTGCCTGTATCTCCTGGGTGCTGGGGTCAAAGGCATGCACCCCCATCCCTGACTAGGATAACACTCTGATGTTGGCGCTAGTGTGGACTGAGCTACAGAGGTCATGGTAGCCGAGGAATAGCTAAGTTTCTTGGGGACAGAAAGCTTGTCACAGGTAGTATATGAGCGCTACTAACATAGGGTGTACTGAGAACACGCAGCTGCATGGTGAGGGTCCCGGGGGAGAGGGAATAGGATGGAGAGATTCAGATTTGCAGAATGAAAGAACTGTGCAACCCCAAACACGCACGGACCTCTCTCTGAACTGTGCGTCTAAAAAACGGTCAGATTGGTGAAGGAGTGTGGGTGAGCTCAGCATGGACTCAGAACACACCGCCTCAGTGACTTGGAGCCCCTTGACATTCTTTACAGGGGAGAGACACATTTCTAATAGAATGTAAGGCCTCTGGTCTCACGCAGTGTTTAGGTGTCTTTTGTGAAAAGGCTTAGAAAAGAAAACCATGACCTGAGCCTGTGGGACCATGCGAGCCTGCTTCATGGTCCACGCTCACCGCGGAGCCTGACTGCAATGGGAAAGGCTGTTCGGTCTTCCAAGCCTCGAGACAGCCTGTGTTATCCTTGTCCACCTGCAGAACTCGTTCCTACAGGATGCTCCGTGACAGCTCAGAGCTGTGCTCATCACACAGGGCACCTGTCAGCATTTGCGTTTTACCTGTGGCTGATTAGGATTTTTTTGTTTGGTTTTTGTTTGTTTGTTAGTTTTAAGACAGGGTTTCTGCGTGTAGCCCTGGCTGTCCTGGAACTCATTCTGTAGACCAGGCTGGCCTCCAACTCACAGAGATTCACCTATCTCTGCCTCCTGAGTGCTGAGATTAAAGGTGTGCGCCACCACCACCTGGCTCTGTGAGTAATAATCTAAAGTATTATTATGTATGATTAAAGTATGGATATTCATACATTGTTTGGAAACCCCATTCACAGTGTACTAGAGCCAGAGGACAGAGGTAGAAGGGGCCTGAGAACCAAGGAAAGAGACTGCTAGGTCCAGATTGCCACATGGCATTTTATTGGAGACTTCATGGTTTAAGCAACACCAAGGCAAGAGGATCCTAAGCTCCACAAGAGCAAGGCACCTCCGTGCTGAGCTAGAAGGTGGGCCGTGGTCAACAGGATCGGATCACCCTTTCTCAAAAGCAATCTGGGCATCAGTGGTTGGCACGCCATGCTCGACTGACTGTCCTAATAACTTTGTTTGCTATAGAGCTTGGGATATCTGCCAGGACTGCCCAGTAGGCACACTGAGCCAAGATGACTGTAGGCATGTGGAGCTGTACCACTCTCCACTGCCCAAACATGCAACCCCCACCGCGCACATACCACTTCCTAGAGTAAACTGAGAACCGAGCTGCTCAATCCACACATTTACTAGCTGACACTGGGAATGGGTCCACAGGAATCAAGCATCCAGAGTCACGTGACTCTTGAGCTAAGGACTTGAGACCCTTTCCACTTTCCCAGCCTGCAAAGCCTGTGCTCTGAACCAGGAAGCCATGCTTGAGCAGAGAGAAGACTGAGCATAAAACAAGATTCCAAGACAGCTTGTAGACAGTTTTTTGGGTCTCTCATTTCATCCATTCTCAAACCTCCTAAGACCCTACTTAGCAACAACCAAAGAGAAGCTGACATATGCTGACTTAGCACAAAATTTAGTTGTTACTAAGCTGAACTTGTGAGATGTTTTAATTCAGATTTCAAAATTTGATTTATTTATGTATAGACAAGGTTCTTACCATGAAATCCTGGCTGGGTTAGAACTCATGATCTTCTGGTCTCAGTTTCCAAGTGCCAGGATTATAGGTGTTAAACACCTGGCTTCCAAAGTCTTCTGTTTTCCAAGAAAGATTTATTTGCGGGTGGTTGTGGCACAAGTCTTTTATCCCAGTACCCAGGAGGCCGAGGCAGGTGGATCTCTGTGAGCTCCAGGACAACCAGGGCTACACCTTGAAACCTTATCTCAATTTTATCTATCTATCTATCTATCTATCTATCTATCTATCTATCTATCTATCTATCTATCTATTTATTTATTGGTTTTTCAAGACAGGGTTCCTCTGTGTCACACCCCTGACTGACCTTGAACTCACTGCTGTCTTTCTGTCTATGCCTCCAAGTGCTGGGATTAAAGGCGTGTGCCACCACCGCCCAAACAAAGAAAGTATTTTAGTGTGTGTGAGTGTGTGTGTGTGTGTGTGTGTGTCACACAAGAGGCAGCCAGACATAGGATTTCCTTGAAACTGGAGTGTGAGCTGCCTGTGATGATGCTAGGAACCAGACTCTGACCATTGGTAAGTGCAGCACACAAGGTTAACCACTGAGCCACCCATCATTCCTGTCCTCTCCAAATTCTTTTGTTACTGTATTGGTTTTCTAAGATAGGCCCTTGCTAAGTAGCCCAGACTAGTCTCAAATTCATGGCGATCCTCCCCCTTCAGTCCTCCATGTTCTGGAACTGCCCACCTAGTGCACTGCAGGTTAGGTTTAAATGTAAAGGAAGAAAAAAAAAAGGAAGAAAAAAAATGTAAAGGAAGGTGGTGTTCATTTTGCAGTGCCGAGGATTGAACCCAGAGCCTTGTGCACGCTAGGCAAACATTCTACAGCTGAGCTACAGCCCCAGCCCCGCACAGTTCTTCGTATTCTACTAGAGGAGACTATTCATTATTATTTATTAATTATTAAGTTGTACTTTTTGTTTTGCAAAGCAGAGTTTAAACATGTAGGCTTGACTGACTCAAAACAGATTATATAGACCAGGCTGGCCTCAAACTTTCAGTAATCCTCCTGCCTCTGCTTCTCAGTGCTGAGGTTCCAGACACTTGATTATTTGTATGTACTTAAAAGTACAAATTGAAAAAAAAAAAGTTAAAAAGAAAGCCAGGTGGTGACCACTCAGGAGGCAGAGACAGGTGGATCTCCGTGAGTTCAAGGACAGCCTGGTCTACCAAGTGAGTTCCAGGACAGCCTCCAGAGCTACAGAGAAACTCTTGCTGTGGGACAATGGTCTGTACCATGTCACTTATATTTTAAATAAACGTTAATTGACCAGTAGTCCAGGCAGAAAGTACAGGTGGGGCCATGAAAACAGGAGAATGCTGGGAAGTTCAGTCTTCAGTGGCAGATGCAGGGGACAAAAGGTGTGACTGCCTTGCCAAAAAAGATACCTAGCCACGTGGCTAACACAGACAAGTATTATGGGCTAATGTAAGTTATAAGAATTAATAAGAAGCCTGAGCTAGTAGGCCAACCAGTTTATAATTAATGTAGGCCTCTGTGTATTTCTTTGGGACTGAACGACTGCAGGACCGGGTGGGACAGAAACCTCAGTCAGCAGAAACCTCAGTCAGCAGAAACCTCAGTCAACACTCTGTCTGGGGTGGGTGGGATACAAATTGCCAGTTCTTGAAGAGAAAATGACCAAAACCATTGTAGGTTATTATATTTGTACAAGCAAAGAAAAAACATGGGTTTTGACTTGCTGAATTTGGCCATCACTTAAAGGTAACCATGCATAGGTTTGAATGCAAATACCTGTTAGTTGAAGAAAAAAATGCATCTCTATGTAAATATTGAATGGGCTGATTTCTGGCCACTCATAGTACCCATCCCTAGAAGAGAAGCACTGCTCCATCAACTAGAGAAGGTGGGCGAAGTAGATAAGCTTAAATTATTCTGTGTCTGGGACTAATAAAGGTTTGATATTGAAGAAGCACTATTATTGGGCTAGGGGCAGAATGTTTGCTAAACGTCTGTGAGGCTGTGGGTTCCATATCCAACACCCACCAAAAAGGAGGGAGAAAAGCCCATTATTTTTGCCCTCACATTAAAATATGTCCCACTATGTAATTAAAGTAATTGGTTAATGTAATTGTTTTTCTGTGCTTGGATTTAAGTTAACCATGACTCTAAGTAAAGTTTGAGTTTGTAACATCAGCCTACATTAATGAAACCAAAAGTCAGAGCCCCTCAGCTGGAAAGGTCGCTCAGAAGTTGAGAGTACCTACTTCTACTGCTGTGGCAGGAAACCTGAGTGTGGTTCCCAACACCCATGTCATGCGGCTCACAACCACCCATGACCCCATCTCCAGGGGGTCTGATAGCCTGTGGAGATTCTGCAGGTACCTGCACTCACGTGCAAAAACCCATATGCATACACATAAAATAATGATGATAATAATAATATCCTTTAAAGTCCCAACAGAGGCAGGTGGATCTCCAAAAGTCTGGGGCCAGCCAGCTCTACATCTGGGGTATGGCAAGCTAGAGCTACATAGTGAGACTTTGTCTCAAAACAAAAAATAAAATAAAATAAAATAAAATAAAAAATGAAAAAAAAACCCTCACAAAAGGCTGGGTGTGGGAATGCACTCCTTTAACCCTAACACCCAGGAGGCAGAGGCAGGTGGATACAGTGAGTTCAAGGCCTGCTCTAAACCTGCACCCACCTTGCTGAGACAGACCTGAGAAAAACCAAAGAACTCAGCCAGCAGCCTTAGTGTGTGGTCCCTTCTTGTTGCTCTGCAGGTACAGCCAGTCTCCCCCGACCCAGGAGATGCGTTCCACCCTCTGTCTCTTGCAATTTCTAATACCACCTCCCACCCCCACATTCCTGGTGGCCCAGACGTGTTCCCATCCAGGGGCAACCCCCAGTCATAAGTGTAATTGATAATCTGCCCCTTACCAAGGCAGGGACTTGGCTCTAGCGAGTCTCTCCGACGTCTTTGTACCCTCTTCCCCGTTTACTGAGTCGTTCCCACAAGCACACAAGCCTGTGGTGGTAACTTATTAACTCAAAGAGAGGAGAATGAAGAGACGGGCCGTGGTGACAGCATGGAGATCTTTATCCCAGACCCCTATGGACACATGGTCCAGGTCTATTTTCTCATTCAGTCACTGCATTCACATAGTGTTTATTACTGCCACCATGATCATGGAACCATATGAGACTCCATTAGGTTTAACAGTCTGTTGGCCCCACAGCCAGACGGTCTCAAGTTAACTTATTCCACAAAGTCACAGCTTTGTCCTCCGTCCACACCGCCAGTGGATGTGGAGTTAAATTCCTGGGAGCCTAAGTTCCAGTGCTCTCCGCACAGGAGAGCACAAACCTACAGCACGACTAATAAAAACCCAGAGACAGAAATTGGAGTTCAGCCTGAAGGTCAGAAAAGCAAAACAGCCAGCCACTGGCTTTCATCTCTGCCAGAGTCTGAAATGGCGATCCTGCCTCCAGGAATCTCAGAATGAGACTGTGTGTGAGGGTTGTCTCCTCCCCTCTTATAGTCCTCACCTAATGCCCAGTTTCTATGGCAAACTAGTGTGGCTACTAGGATTAAATATATGTGTGTCACCACTGCCTGTCTATAAGGCTAATCAGCGTGGCTGTTTTACTCTCTGAACTTCAGGCAAACTTTATTTATTAAAATACAAATGAAATATCACCGCACAGACCCTAAATCAAGGTCAGTCATAGACTGCATCTCCAAAGGATAGCTTTGTCTGCATCTGGGGTCCAGACTGTCGCTGGTCTGAATGGCTCTACCCCTGATATGGTCAGCCCAGTAATAGGTTGGGTTTTTTTGTTTGTTTAGTTTTTAATAGCATTTCAATTATTTGACCATTTGGAACAATCCAAATGATTAGTTTTTCCAAATGAATTTTGCAGTTTAGTATCTGTTTAGTTTGGCCCTCATCTATAACCCAGACAATTGTCTTAGTAAAAAGTGAAGCTAGATCTTCAGGAAGGTGTCAGTGGAGGCAGAAAAATCACATCTACATCCTGACAAGTCCCTTTGACCCTTAGGGGCCTACACTTAGGCAAATGCAGAATTTTTTCACTCTGCCATAGAAAAAAAATTGAAAACAAGATGGCATGAAGTAGAGTTGAAATTTATTAAAAGGCTTGTTTGTTTTCTTGGAAGTAGGGTTTCTCTGTGTAGCCCTGGCTATCCTGGAACTCACTCTGTAGACCAGGCTGGCCTCAAACTCAGAGATCTCCCTGCCTCTGCCTCCCAAGTGCTGGGATTAAAGGCATGAGCCACCACCACCTGGCAAAAGACATTTTTGTTTTGTTTTGTTTTGTTTTTTGAGACAGGGTTTCTCTGTAGCTTTGGAGCTTGTCCTGGAACTAGCTTTTGTAGATCAGGCTGGCTTTGAACTTACAGAGATCCGCCTGCCTCTGCCTCCCAAGTACTGGGATTAAAGGCATGCACTACCACCACCCTACCCAGCTAAAGACATTTTTACCATGAATCTTTAGCACGGGGGTAAGGCAAAGAGATGCTCAGGGGAAGAATAGGTACACCTATGTGTGGATGTAGGATTCTCAAAGGAGTGCTCTATGCATGGTTTGATTCGTTTTATTTTACTGTTTTATATATTTGAGTGGCTTTGCGTGCGTGCGTGCGCGCTTGCGCTTGTGTGTGTGTGTATGTGTGTGTGTGTGTGTGTGCTCGCCCGCGCACGTGTACCATGGGCCTGCCTGGTACACTTGAAGATTAGAAGACAGTGTCAGATCCTCTGGAACTGGAGTTTATTGTAAGCCAACATGTGGGTTGGAATCAAACACAGTTCTCTGCAAGAGCAACAAGAACAAGTGCCCTCAGCCACTGAGCCCACTCCAGCCCACCTTATTGTTTCGTCATATATATGTTGCTGACCTGAACTCAGGTCCTCATATTTGTGCAGCAGACACTTTACCAACCTGTCTTTACAGTGACTATGTATACGATCTGTGACTTTTTTTGTTGCGTTACTCAGAGAGTATAATTTAAAAGAAGGCTTAAAGGGTAGAGAATTTCCTTTTGCAAACAAAATTGCAAAGTATATGTTATTGTTTGGGTTTGGAAATGAGAGCGAAGTTTTACATATATAACTCAAGGTTATATATGTAAATCATTTCAGCTGTATGTCGGCATGCTTTGTTTATCGTCTTTGACATAACTATCTGAGATGTCTCAGGAAAACATCCATTGTCTCTGCACACAGCTTTGGCTTTATTGGTGGCCCAGAGCTTCCTACAGTTAACACGATAATTGTTGCTGTACAGAATCCCTTCAGCTATGGAATATCTGTGTAGAGTGTGTCTGATAGAATAAGCAGTCAAGCGTCTTTGAGATTTGGGAACACAGAGACTCACTGCAGAGCCTACATAGCTAGGGCTCACTTCAAAGCCCCTAGGTAATCAAGGATGACTGTGGATTTCTGATCCTCTTGCTTGTTCCTCTCCATTGCTGAAAGTGAGCACACATAGTACCACTCATGCCCCGCCAGTTTAGGTGAGAAACAGGGCCTGGGGCTTCACGCACAGCAGGCACGTGAGCCACATCCCCAGCCTCTTGCACCCTTTCTAAAACTAAACAACATAATTTAACTATGACTAACCCTGGCAGCGCACCCCCACCTGGCAGCAAGGATGACCACTGAGCAGTTGGAAGGGCTGGCTCTAAAATCCTTCCGTGCTCTATCAGGATGGCAAGTCATTCAAGTTTGTGCAGAGTCTCCGGTTCACCACCTGCAAAGTGAAGGTGCCGAGAAGAGCCTGCTGCAGTCATGGAAGGGGAGCCCTGGGAGGAAGGAAGTACATTTAGGGGAGGGTAAGGACGAAGCTTCACTAGGCTCTGAAGCATTCGATGGTGCCAGATCAGCAATGGAGGCTGTCGACGTGGCTCAAAATCGAGGCTGGAAGCAGGAAAACCAGCCGCTGATCTCACGCAACCTTATTTTATTTATTTTTTGTTTTTTCAAGATAGGGTTTCCTCTATAGCTTTGGAGCCTGTCCTGGAACTAGCTAGCTCTGTTGACCAGGCTGGCCTCGAACTCACAGAGATCCGCCTGCCTCTGCCTCCCGAGTGCTGGGATTAAAGGCGTGCACCACCACCGCCCGGTGCAACCTTATTTTAAACGTGAAGCTTAGAAGCCTGACCAACACTTGAATTTGCCACTGCTCTTCCCTGGGATCCTGATTACAGAAACCCGGGAACCCTCCCCAGCTTCCCACAGCGTCCAGACTTGCTGAAGCTCAGGCCTTGGAAACATCTGAAACTCATGTATAGAATCCAGGTCAGGGCAGAGGCCCTCGCGTTATATAATAAACTTTAAAACAATCAGGTTATCAGTTGGGTTCTAGACCAAAGTCGTGTCTGGAGACACTGTAATGCTTGTATTACAATTCAAACACCTAGAAAACAATTTGGTCAAGATGTTACAAAAAAAATAGTTTAGGCAAGATGTGGACCATGCAGAGAGCATACTGTTAAATTTTAAGGCACACGTGCGGTGGTTGACATAGAATATTTTTCAGGAGACAACAATGAAGTTCACTTTGTAGACCAGCTTACCTGTAACACGGTGAAAAAAACAAAACCTCAAACAAAGCACATAGGCTGTGGACTTCAGGACTGTCCTGGGGTCCTTTGTTGTTTGTGCTTGAGACAGCTTCTCCCTCTGTGGCCCAAGCTGGCCTGGGCTTTGGTACCAATCCTCCTGCCTCCGCCCTCCTAGTGCTGGGGTGGGAAGCATGCGCTACTACACTTGGCTCACTGCAGTTAGAAGCGGGTGCTGTAGCTTGAGGTGGAGGGTAGAGAGCGGGACCTAAGTCACACACACACACACACACACACACACACACACACTGTAATGAGCATGGAAATTGATTCCTCTGAATGAGTAGAAAAAGGGCAATCTATAGTGTAGGTAAAGTAGGAAATCTATAGTATAAGGATAAGTATAATATAGAAAATAGAAAATTAAGTAAGAAAACTGTGTGAAGTAGAAAACTATTAAGGTGAAATATTAAGAGAACATTTTTGCCCACTTAGAGGCTGCAGCCAATAACCTTGGTAACAAAAGTAATCTTGCCACACGAGAAGGACCCCACCCTTCTGTGTCCAGTCAATACCGATAGCCTAGGACATCTGGCTATCAGAAGGATCAGACTTAATTTTCTATTTTCTATATTATACTTATCCTTATACTATAGATTTCCTACTCTACCTACACTGTAGATTCCCCCTTTTCGAATCATTCAGAGGAATCTGTTTCCATGCTCATTACACACACACACACACACACACACACACACACACACACACACATCTCCATTCTAATGCTCTGAAGTGCTTAAAGCACCTACTAAAAGTTCACTATTTTCAGGGGAAAAAAAAACTTTTTTTTTTTTTTTGAAAAAGCTTCTCCTCCTAGTCTTTTCTGATTCATTTCCTTCTTCTTTCATCTCGGTTTTTGTAGGGGGGATGACAGTCCCTCCCACAAATGAGCTCATTCCAACCAGAACCCAAGGCCAGTATTTATCTGTTAAATCACAAACCCTTCCTTTCAGACCAGTTGACAGTTTCTAGTGGGAGTCTGGGAGAGGGACTAGAAAGGACCAGTGCTGGTTCTGACCTTTACCTCATTTACCTGGTGCTGCAGTCACAGGCTGCCTTTTTCTGAGCAGCCGTGGACCCATATTCCCACTCCTAACTGGAGGGTCTGTCCCCTACGGCAGGGCTGTGGGCAGATCAAGACGGAAGCTGGGGATGCTGGGTTGTAAACAGAGCCCCCACACCCCACCCGCCCAAGACAGATGGGATCATGGCTACTGAATAAGAGAAAGCAAAGCCAGACCTCTCTCTTACAGTCTCCCCAAATTTCTTTCTCCAATTCCTCCTCCCCACTTCTAAAGTTTTCTACATTGTATTCGCCACACCTGAATAATAAAAGCCGAGGAACTGAACCGTTAAAAAACAGGAAGGGTCAAGATATAGTTACATTCAAATTACGGAGACAGGCAAAAGGAACACAAATTCGGAGCCAAATTTCTACTTCAGGTTTCATCTACATCAGTGACACAGTCTTAAACTTCGGTCTTTGGTCTTCCAAAAACAAGAAGGCAAATGCTGTATGTATACTGTCATTTGCCCCAGAGGCCACCGGAAATGGCATCACCTCCCCAGACACTGGCTTATGAAAGTTCCAACACCCAGTGTTGAACTTATTTACCCAGAAGACAGTCTGGGCCATTCAGATCTACAGCCAAGAAAGGACTCTATCTAGGGACAAAATCTGGAATCAACGGAGAGACACCTTTTTAAAAAAAATACCACCTGGGGTTTCAATGAGTAAGTACCTTCCAGCTTGCTTTTTTCTTTTGCTAATGAGTCTCTTTTTAGTCCAGGCTGCCCTCCTACTCCCTGTGAAGCTGAGAAAGACCTTGAGAGATTACAGGGCTCTGCCTACCATTTTCTTTTAAATATAAATTTAAATTTTCTGACTGTCTTTTCTCAGGTCCCTTCTGTTACAAGTCAGTGGGCAAGTGGGGGATGGGGGGGCTCCAGCCACCAGACTTGGTGGCACCGAAGGACCAGATGTTATGTGGTCTAGACTGGTAAACAATTAATTTTTTTTAAAGGTGCAAGGAAACAGCCAGTTCAGTGCTGAAGGAAAGAGGATGTGCAGCGTCTAGTTATTGTCTGAGCAATCTTGTCTGTTGCGGTTGCCCACAAAGGCTTGGCATCCTAGCCCTGCTTTTCATAAGCATGTGAGGTGATGACAGGGAGCTCAGCCCATCTTTCGATCTTGATTTTTGAATGTGTAAATGAGTAAAATGAAAGATACCTAGTCCGTAAGTTTCTTAAGAGAAACACATAGATAACCAAGCAAAGCACTTGAATATCACCGGAGGAGTCTAGATAATGTTACCCAATTGGTTAAAAATTTCATTTCTCTGCAAATAATAATAGTAATTAGTAATAAAGCTAGCTAGCATCCTGAGTGGTGGAAATGGACCCAAACAAGCTCCACATCTGTTCTGTTTCCTTGTGGAAAATATAGGTTTTTTCCTATAAAAAAATAGTTTTTTCCAGCAGAGAGTAACAAGGAGGAAACAACATGCAAATTTTTCTTTCTAGATAATTTTACTTCCTTCTTTTCATTTCAGCAAATATTTATAGCTGGAGTTAAAAGCTTAGGTTCTGAAACCATATTTCTACCCAAAGAAAGGCAACCTATGCCCCCACGCTTCTCTAATCCATCAAAAGTTGCTCTCAATACCAGGCCGGTTGTGACTTTTGCTAGCTGAGCAACCTTGGGCGATTTTGCATAACCTCTGCCTGCCTGTGTTGATTTCTCTGTAGGTGGAGGTAACCAAAGACTGGGTTGTGAGAGACTCAAACAGCCCAGTCAGCAGGGTCAGTGTTCCTTGAATGTCCACTGTAAAAAGGCGGAAGTGGATGGGCAAGTGAGGGCACGCCACGGGAAGACGCCAAGATCGCAGGACTGGGGAACAGTTGGGATGTGGAGTGGGAGGAGCTTGTGTCTGAGAGGAGCTGCTTTACTGGGCCAGTTATCTGCAATAGCAGACCAAGCTTTTAGGAGCAGAGAGCCCTTGGAGGAAGAGAGGCCAGTCAGATTCCGTGTTTGCTCCTGATTTCTCTCCTCTCCTCCTCCTCCTCTCTCTCTCTCTCTCTCTCTCTCCAGATTCCGTGTTTGCTCCTGATTTCTCTCCTCTCCTCTTCTCTCTCTCTCTCTCTCTCTCTCTCTCTCTCTCTCTCACACACACACACACACACACACACACCACACAGATGGGGGCTGGGATTTGTGGAAAATAAAAAAATATTAGCCACGCAAACTAAGCAAAAACAGCAGTGAAAGTGAACACTGCTCAACTTGTGAGAACGTTGAAAAATCCTAAAGTATATTTGCAATATACATGTGTATCTATCTACCTTACATATATAACAATGGAGTGTATAGCCAATATATTCTCTATGGCATACAATTAACATTAACATACACTTTGCTATATAACTATAACATGCATGTTAGACAAGACATGTGCATCTATCAGACCCTGGGTAGGATCCCCAGTGCCTACCCTCAAAAAAGTGGAAATAAATAGCAATGGTTGGGTTGAGCTACATTCAGAATTTCAGGTTAAGGATTTTGATGTTTCGAGAAGAGTGGAAACAGCCATTTATGAAAACTAAAAACGACTTGACCCAGCTTTTTGGATGGAGTTCATTTCCACCAGGTCATACATTTCCATCCAGAATTGAAGTCCTGAACACACATACAGCAGGCTGCCATCATTCCAGGCCACAACCAATATTTACCTGGAGGAAGACTGTCCAAAGGTCAGGAGGGAATTGTCTCAGGAATTGTCACGTTTGGGTGAGAGGATAAAGAACCCTGGAGGATTTGGAAGGCTATTGTTACTCCTCCCTTCCCCCCACTAAAGAATTTTACCCACCTGAATGCCTGGAGTGGAGGAGACGCTGGGGGGCTGGGGTGAGGAAGCCTAGCCATCCACTATTAAGAAATCACCAGTAACTTACTCCTCTCCTCCCCTCCAGGCCACAATGCCTGAAGCTGAGAGTGCAGATCTGGTGGTGGTGAGGGAAATCTCCAGCTGGATCTTACCCCAGGGCCAAATCCCGGGCCCTCCCACCCAGCCTGGTGGCTTTATTGCCTCAATTCTGAGTCATCTGCATACAAATAGTATTGATAAGGTGATGGGTGGTCCTTCGTATCCCTCCTGGATCTTGGGAAGAGAAGCCATTTACAGTCTGACTAGGAAAACGGGCGAGACCCTGAGCTAGAGAGGGCAAAACTGGGATTGCTCTCAGGCTGGAGGGTGACTGAAACCAAGCTTGCGGGAGGCCGGAGAACCGGTGAGAGGGCCTTGAGAAAGACCAGCTTTGAGGGAACCCCTGAGAAAGAACGAGAAGCACCGCAAAGGATCCAGGGCAAGATAGAACCCAGTGACAGGGACCCCGGAGGGCGCTGCAGAAGTGTGATCGGCAGCCGCGGGGAAGGTCAAGAATCGGCCTTTGAAAGGAAGCCAAGAAGCCAGTGCTGATTTACTGACAAATGTCTTCGGGTTTGACGCGATTGGAAGCCAAGTTAAAATCAGAGGAGGAGTGAGTGGGAGGAGAGGACGGGACACAGGCAGTGCAAACAGCGCTTTAAAACTGGCCTTGAAGGCCAGGCGCTAGGACAGGCCTGGAGGTGGAGCCAGCAAAGTTACCTTTCTTTCTTCCTCTTTTTTTCCCTTTTTTTTTTCCTTTTTTCTTTTTTAACAGCAAGAAATTAGGAGGGTGGGAGCTAACCTTGGGACTAGTGACTGAAAGGCAGACTGCAGGGTTAGTCCACTCTGGAGATATAGCTTGAGGATGTAGCGAACTCCCGCGCGACTTGGCTGTTGGCTTTCCCAGAAGCAGGTACGTGTCTGCCTTTGCACTCGGTGGGAAGGGGACCTCGGGGTCGGGGGCTCAGCGACTTGGGGTCCTCGGGCTGTTTTCTCTAGAACCTGAGTGGGGCCAGTTTACTTTGCTGGAGCTTAAAGGGGGCCTGGTGTTCTGCAGGCGTGGCTAGGCCTTTGAGACGCCGGGTGCCCTCTCTTCCTCGGTGGGGGAAACCGAGGCTCGGGGGAGATGGGCCTCCAGCCTGAGACCAGTATGGCACTGTTTCTTGGAGGTGAAAGCCAGGTTGCCAACTCAGGATATTTTCCTTACCCTATTAGACAAATTAAAGGGGGAATTGAAATAACGAATCGGAGTGGTAATAGCTAAAAATTTGAAAACCTGTATACGATCGAAGCCAAGCTTTTAGGAACTGTTTAAAAGATCCAAATGGGAATCTGGCGGTGGTGGCACATGCCTTTAATCACAGCTCTTGGGAGACAGGCAGGCGGATCTCTGAGTTCGAGGCCAGCCTAATATGCAGAGTGAGTTCCGGGACAGCTAGAGATACGAAAACTCAAGGGTTTTCTTTTTTTCTAAAAAGTGATGCCACCCGCATAGCGAGTATCAGGGTCTTCTACTTCATCCTTAAATTTACTCCTTGCATTTCTTTCTGTAGCCTTTAAGATTTATAATAGACTATTAATATGGGAAAACATGAATACTTTAAGCGTATTTTTGATTTTTGGAGCTTTAAGAGATTTTAAGCTTTGTAACTTTTCAGACTCACAGTGTTTGAAGTTCTTCCAGTGATGTATCAGCCAAATCGCAGCATTGTTGAATGTTGGTGGGGAGAGCTGGTACAACTACGTTTCTCAGTGTGTATCCACCTCAACGCCAGCCTAAGATTTGTAGCCACCGGAAACCCACTTTAAAGGCTGGATGTCATTGTGGTCACAGGTCTCAGCCAAGTTAAATATGCAGAGTGACCGCTGTCAAGGCCCTGATGCACACTGGAAACTACATTTTGACCAATAGACTGCAGGCCTCAGGCCAGTTACGCAGGTGATGCCACCTGGCTTGCGAAGATGAGATTTGGGCTTCCCAGTGGCCACCTGGCAGTGGTTTCCTTGGTGCCACACTTAACCACAGTATTTCACAATGCCTTTATATATTTGATGTGGTCCTAAAGCCATTCTTAAAATACGGCTTCTCCCACTTTTGGTGCTGTGTAAAGCAGATATTAGCTTACTTGCCCCAAATCAAAACTTTGTGGCGAGTTCCCAGGCCCGAGTTCAGAATACAGTGACTGCCCTTCCCCCAGAAGCTATCACTATCCAGCAGTTAGCAGGCCCTGTGGGCCACTCTGGGATCCATAACTGACTGTTGGTAGGCCCAGCCCAATCTAGTAGGCTCCATTGCAGGCCCTATAATTTTTGGCTCATTGGTTCAACTTAGAAAACTAAACAATTGCCAAAGCATAAGGCAGTCAAAAGGTGACTTCCTGAGAAATAATTATTTTCGTGCATTGCCTTAAAATTGAAAGGGATCTTGGGAAAGTAAAAAAAATAATTATTTGAGCTGGGCATTTTTAATCTCAGCACTCAGGATGCAGAGGCAGGCAGATCTTCACGGCCAACCTGGTCTACATATCATGTTTCAGGCCTACATAGTGTAACCCTGTCTCAAAACAAAAAAAACCCAGAACAGATAGATAGATGATTGATAGATAAGTTCCCCCAAAATGCCTTTAAAGGGAAAGGGGCTGTTTGTAGGCCTAGTGTAATGTTAGAGTGGACTTTAGTCTGGTGCATGGAACTGTTCGTGATAAGGGTTCCTGCTAGAAAGCCTAGCAGCATCCCAATTTTCAGGTCTAACATGCTTTAAGACATCTCTGTCCCATCTCTCGAGCAACCAGCCTCGTTTGTTTTCACTCTTCCAAAAAGTAACCTAATTACCACAAAACATTGATTAATGAAAAATAAATGTGCTGGGTTTGTTTTGCGATAGCTATAAAGTAATAGTCAAAGATTTATAATTCATGCCCTGTGACGCTTCTGAAAAATTAATTATCCCCAAGTGGAGAAATACAAGCAAATTGGCTTGAAAGTCAGTTTTTAAAATAGCGGTAGCTGTTATTAATGCATATTTCTCCCGTACTTTAGAGGCCCAGATCTTGCAGCGCAACAGCTTTGGAGAGTCAGAAAACTTTTTAAGAGTGGAAGTGTAGGCCTTGTACCCCACTGACTCCTTAGACTCAGCCTTGGGTGCTTCTGCACACAGCCCTCTTGCCGAGTCAGCCCCCTCTTATCTGTCCTTGGCAGCCTTATCTCTCCCCTGGAGGGAAGGGAGCAACTCATTTTGAGTTTTCTTTTTGAGCAATCCAGCACCAGCACCACCCTCCTGGAATCTTAGGTGTTTACACCACTCCAGCTGAGACTGCCCTTTTGTACCTGGTTCTGGAGCCCAACAGCTGACCCGCTCTGTTTCCTCCCTAATTAAATGAGTCCATAAAATCGCTTCCAAAAGTAATGAGGGAGTTCAACAAATTGCTCTAACCTGACTATAGTCAAATCCCTTTTTGTTTCAGTTTTTATAAATAAAAAGAACCTGAAACTGGAAGTTTCTGGCCTTTGTTAAGTGTCTGAGAAGATTCGGGTTTTTACTAAAAGTGTCATTTAGCTATGCCATGTGTTGGGTGCCATCCTAGCACAGCCCATTCTTTCCCTTGGGGACCAGGCAGAGGGTGTCTGACTTTGTCCATCTGGTTGCTGTGCGCCCCCACCCCTTGTCTTGGTTTCAGCTGCTTACTGGAATGTTCTCTCTCCCTCTCTTTCTCCTTGATGCTATCTGCACCTTCCCCTGGAGGACAATGGAGAATTCTTGCTGGTCTGCTTGATTGGGGGGGTGGGGGACGCAGCATGTGGTCTGAGGTTCTCTGGTTAAGATCCCGAGAACTACCTCTTTCCTCAGGGAAGTTGTTGTCTGCAGCATTTTGTTTTCCTATGCTTTACTATGGACTATGCTTTACTATGTTTACCTGGTTTAATATTTGTGGCTCTTGCTTGATACTGAATGAGATGTCATAGAGTCATTACCCCTACCCCCCAAGCACACACAACCATCCACTCTGGGTTTCAGTCGTTGCCTACGAATAAAAAATGAGTAAGTCCATGATTCCTATAAACTTTTCTATCAACGTAGGAATGGAGAGAACGATCTCTCATTTTGTAAACATCCGCTCCCCTGTGGGCGTTGTCTCCTTTGGTTTTTGTGGAACCCGAATGAAAGGTGAACAGTTCTCCCCTTTGCAGATGGTTAAACTGGTGGCATTCGGTAGCATGCTCACTGAGAATCACTAACTCATGCTGGTGCTAAAAGTTCGGCAGGCCTTGTTCTAAGTACTTTACATTTGGCTGGAGCCTTGGTTCAGGTTAAGAGCCCTGCTGCTCAGAACCAGGCAGCCACTCAGGCTGCTCACAAGGGCCCTGAACTCCAGCTGCAAGGAATCTGACAGTCTCAACTGGCCCCCGTGAGTGTCTGCCTTCAGGGCAGAATAAACAGCATATCTGAGTGCTCCACACTCACGCCTCGTGTTTCAGAGAGGCCAAGTAACTTAGCTGCAGCAAAGAGCTGGCAAGGAGAGCCGAGTCCATCCCAGCTGTGGATCCAAAGCAGTGCTCTTCTCTAGCATGGATGTTCTTGTTTTTGACCCAGGCTGGCCTTGAACCCCTGGTCCTCCTTTTCTGTCCTGCTGTGTGGTATTACAAGCTTGCACCACACCTGACAGTTACCCCTGAGTTTCCCCCTCCCCCCTCCTGTTAATTCTTTTTTTTTTTTTTTTTTTTTTGATATTTTAAGACAGGGTCTTACTGTGTAGATCAGGCTGGCCTAGCACTTGTAGCAATTCTCCAGCCTCTGCCTCCCTTACGGTCCTATACTACCAAGCCTAGTTTATCAATGTTTCTAAGCTCAGAGGACAAATAATGTTAGCTCATTCTCTCCCCCCTCTCTTTTTGAGACAGTGGCTCTTGTATACCTGGCTGGCCTTGAACTCACCAAGTAACCATAGATGGCTTTGGTCCTCCCAAGGGCTGATATTACAGCTTGTGCCACCACTCCCTGGTTGTGTGGTGATGGGGATGCAACTCCTGGCTCTCCGTGGGCTAGGTGAGCAGCATCTCCAGCCCTGTGTGTGTTCTACTTCATGCACTGGTTTGTGCATCACAGTGGTGAGCTATTATTGTTAAACTTTTTTTTCCCCTCTTTGGTTTTGTTGACAGGGTCTCACAATATAGCCTTGGCTGTCCCTGAAACTCATTAAGTAAACCAGGCTGGCCTCTAAGTCATAGATATCCAGCTGCCTCTCTCCCAAGTGATGGAATTAAAGGTGTGCCGCCACTCCCCGTGAAACTTCTTTTCTCAGAGCAATAGTAAAAACTGGGGGAAGATGAGTCAGTATTTTTACCTGTTCTGTAAAAACTAAGTATATATGCTCCCTGTTTTTATAATTTATATTTGTGACCACTTAAAACCACATGTAGTACAGCCTTAACATTTGGTAGCTGGGCCTACCGTCCCATTTGTTTTAATTCCAGCACTCTGGAAAACAGAGGCAAAGGGATCTCTGAATTCTTCAAGGCCAGCTTGGTCTACCTAGTGAATTGTAGGACTGTGAGGGGCTACCCAGTTTCAAAGAGAAAGTTTCAGGTGTCGTGGCACATTCTTACAATAACCAGCACTCAGAGGCTAAAATGGAATGATCAGGAGTTTGAGGCCAGCATCGGTTAGACAGCAGAATCTTTTCTCAAAAAATAATAAATGGTCGTGCACGCCATTAATCCTCCCAGCACTAGGGAGGCAGAGGTAGGCGGATCTCTGTGAGTTCAGAGTCAGTCTGTCTACAGAGAAAATTCCAGAACAGCCAGGGCTATGCAGAGAAACCCTGCCTCAAAAAATCAAAGGGAAAAAGATGACAATTTTTTTTCTAACAATTTAATGCCAGTTATCCACCCATGCCTATTAAAATGTTTACAGTGTATATTACCTTACAGCTCTCAGGGCATGGTGGATCCCACGGGCTTTCACACAGCCAAAGTGGCTGTTATGTCCCTGCCTGCTTGTAGTTTGGAGGTAGTGTTGAAGTGGGAGTCTACTTTTTAATTGTCCCAGGGGATGCAGCCTAAGTGGCAGGCTGAAATAAACCTTGCACATGAAGTTTTGTGTTTTGAGACAGGGTCCCACAACATGGGCTATACTAGCCATGTAGACTAGGCTGGCCTTCAACTCACATAGATCCTCCTGCCTCTGCAGCTCTGGGATTTGAGGTGTCGCCACCACTGCCTGGGTTTCATTTGAGGTTTTGAAGATGAGGGCCACATCTCCCAGCATTTCATCAGAGTGTTTAAAAAGGCAAAGCCTTGCAAATTCATCAAGAGACAGATTGACAGGAGACTAGAAAGGCAGAAAGGAATGTACAGGCAGAGAAAGGCGTGGAAGAAGAGTGGAAATAAAGTCAGTCATTAGCGTTTTTCCTCTGGTTGTAGATGCAGAATACTGAACCTAGAGCTTTCGACAAGCGAGACCTCTATCCCCAGAACCCTTTTTATTTCTCTTTTCATTTTTTTAAGTGTGTGAATGTCGTTTGGGGGTGGGGTGTGAGCACACACATACACGCTCAAGTCTGGAGACATCAGTGATGCATGCTTTCCTTTTTTAAAAAAAAGCAATATTTATTTGCCTTTCTGGGTCTGAGAGGTGTCTTCTTTTTGCCATTTTCTACACACACACACACACACACCCCAATTTATTTATTTATTGAGACAGGTTTTCCTTATGTAGTATTGGCTGGTCTGGAGTTCACTAGACCCACCTAGCCTTTGAACTCACAGAGTTCTGCCTGCCTCGGCCTCCCAAATGCTGGGATTAATGGCAGCCATCACCAGGCACAGCTGCCCACTTTATTTGTTGAGAGCGGTTCTCTGACTGAACCCAAAGCCTGCTGTTTTGGCTAGACTAGCTGTCAGAAAAGCCTCTGGGATCTGCTGGGCTGTGCTTGGGATTTAAGCATAGATCCTCAGTGCCTTTTTTACCCACTCAGCCATCTGCCCAACCCAGTGGTTGGATTTCTTTTTTTTTTAAACATTGAAGATGGTTTGAGCTTTAGGAAATGGTAATTGTTGGAAGTAAACAGGGAGATTGATGAAGAACAAATTGCAGGCCTAACAGATCAAGGAGGGTTTCTGCTCCTTCCCTCTTCCCAGCCCCCCCCCCCCCCAATCAGGCCCAGCCTTCTGGAGCTAGCAATATGGTTTTTTCGGGGGCACACACCCTCAGGCAGCAGTTCCCCAAACTGTACCTTTCCCCTATCTTTCTTAAGCTTGCTCCTCTGCCTAAGGGTGAGCCCCTCCCAGCGCTCTCTCTTCTGTTCTAGCAATTCCCAGACCCAGCTTGTGCAAAAGAGGGAGCTAAGAGGCGCCGCGCAGGGCATCATGGTTCGCCTGTTGGCCTCAGAAGTTCAGCAGCTTCTCCACAACAAGTATGTGGTCGTCCTTGGGGACTCTGTACATAGGGCGGTATACAAGGACCTGGTGCTCCTGCTGCAGAAGGATTGCCTGCTCAGTCACAAGCAGCTCAGAACCAAAGGGGAGCTGACATTTGAAAAGGATCAGCTGATGAAGGGAGGCGAGCTGGACACCCTACACAACCGCACTGACTACCGCGAGGTGCGCGAGTTCTGCTCCGACCATCATCTGGTGCGCTTCTACTTCCTCACGCGCGTCTATTCTGAGTACATGGAGAGCGTCCTAGAGGAGCTGCAGTCGGGCACGCATGCGCCAGATGTGATCATTATGAACTCTTGCCTCTGGGACGTCTCCAGGTATGGGCGGAATTCCTTGAGTAGCTACAAGCAGAACCTGGAGAACCTGTTTGGGCGCATGGACCAGGTACTGCCCAAGTCATGCCTGCTAGTGTGGAACACTGCCATGCCTTTGGGTGACAAGATCAAGGCGGCCTTCCTCCCTCAGAAGTGTAAGGGCCAGTACCGGATCTCGGTGGCCACCCTGAAAAAAAGAGTGAGCCAAGCCAATTTCTACAGCCATGCTGAAGCAACCAAGCGCTGCTTCGATGTGCTGGACTTAAATTTCCACTTCCGGCAGGCCAAGAAGCATCTGCAGGGAGATGGGGTGCACTGGAATGAGCATGCACACCGCCGACTCTCCTACCTGCTGCTTGCCCACATGGCTGATGCTTGGGGGGTGGATCTGCCCCACCGAGACCCATGGGAGCCTGGTCCTGTGGTGTGGGAAAGTCCGAGTCAGGTAGAAGAATGGCAGCCCCCATTCAATAGAGGTCCCCAGGCCTTTGCCTTGTCTCCACCCATGCCTCTTCCCAGGCCACGCCCACTGTTCCCACCCCCTGGCTTGCCCTTAAGGCCCCCACCCCTCCTAGCATGTTCCCTACCCCCACCTCAGGCGACACCCCCATTACCACACTATCCACAAGATTCCTATTTTTCCTCGGACCATGTTTTCCAGTCAGATGAATTCTATATTCATTCAGAGGACCCCTCACCTACCCACACAGGATACACCTTTGAGGGTGACTTTAGTTTTTATCCCCAACCACCCATGCCCAACTTCCGCCCACCCTGTTACCAGCGCCAGGCCCCTGTGGTACATAGGGGTTTCCCGAGGTATCTTGCTCATGGCCCCTATATGCCCTGGAGAGAGAGGCCCAGGCGACCTCAAAGACATGCCCCAGCCTGCCTAGAGTCAAGGCCTCAGTAGCCTGACTTAAACCCCTTTACCTCTGGGTGGGGCTATGTGATGTTGACTTTCCCTTTTCATGTCTCAGTCTCCACACACTGACCTTGCTACTTAAACCCAGCTAGTCCCATGTTGGACGTCTCTGTGTTCACTGCTGTTAGAGACAAGGAATAGCACACTGGCCCACTCCTGCTGCCTGAGGAGGTCTCTTTCCCCCAGTGACCAAGCAAGCATTCTTACTACCTCCCCCCATCGCTATTCTTGTTGCCTTTTTGTAAAAATAAAATTGAAATACAGAAATTATTTCCAAAAGTGGTTCTGCCTCTTGTGCGTGTGCGTGCGTGCGTGCGTGCGTGCGTGTGTGTGTGTGTGTGTGTGTGTGTGTTTAATGGCTGCCTCTTCTTATAGTTAATCCGTTAGCTCTTAGAACAAGGACTGTAGTTTTGACAGCCCTTTAGTAAACTATTCAAAACAGTTTAAAGGAATTCCAAGAGAGTTCCTGTAAATAGATTGGAGACCTCACAAGGAAGCGGCAGAAATGGAGCTTTCTGTGATTCGAATTCCTCAAAGAATTGATGCCTTTTAGGATTAGAAAAACTAAATGCATAAAAGTTAACATCTACAAATGGGAAAACTGAGTGCAAAAAAGGACTTGACTAGCCCTTCCTACTACTTTATACTTGTTATAGTTTACGTTAATGTGTGTGTGTGTGTGAGAGAGAGAGAGAGAGAGAGACACGGGGTGAACATGACTTTGAACTTGCCCTCCTGCCTCTGCTTCCTGAGTGCTGGGATTACACACATACACTCTGTGTCTGGTGTATGGGGTTCTGGGAATTAAACTTCAGGGCTTCATGTATGCCAAGCAAGCAGTCTACCAAATGAGCTATGTCCCCAGCCCTCCATTAGCTTTCCTCAGGCCTGAGGTTACAGCAGCTGTCCTCCCCAGACGGGAAGAGCAGAGGTGGGACACTGTCACTTGGAATTGTGTGGTGGATGAAAAGCTATGCATGCTGGTTAGATGGGAGGCTTACCTTTGACTTGGTGACCCCATGACTAGTCCTAGCTTGTGTGTGTGAGGAAACTGGAGAAAGGTAAGCCACACCTAGTGGCAATGTGAATTACCATTGTAGAATACAGCTGCAGATTGGAAGGGACCACCCAGTCACCAGCCCTTTCGGGATCAACTCAGAAATGGCCACAACCAGTATTCTGTAAGTCATTAAATGTGTTTAAGTGCTAGACCCTTCCTCAGATAAAGTACTCAACTAGATGCGCGTAGAATCTGGGTGATGGCAGTTTTGTGCTGAGGGATTGGGCTGCTTCATAGTCCATCCCTAAAGGGTGATAATGTGATTCTACAAGAGTGGCATTCATGAAATCACAAGAAATTGAGACCAGATGGTGCCAGAAGAAATACACAGCACTTGGTCATCACCCCCACCAAAGAGAACATATTTCTGGAAAAAGGTCCTTACTTCAGAGATCCCAGCAGCTGAGGTCCTGGGACTGAAAAATATTCTCTGCCCAGTGTTGAATGTGGAGATGATTCTTTACAAAGGTATGGGTATGTCTCCACCCCGATCCTAGAGAGCTCGTGTACACTGGCCAGCACCTATGTAACAATCTGATGGTGTATAGTTGAAGCAGCATGGTGATAACCTTTGAGGACCCTAGAAATGTGGTTTTTAACAAAAACAATTTGCCAGGATGTCAAACAGAACCAGAGGGGCAATGTCTGGCTGTGGCCCGGCACCATCAGTCCTCACGTACATTAATTCTGGGTTTATTTTCCAAACAGCACATAACTTCTGATCTGAGTCTTACTGAGTTTTTATACTTTCAGGAGTAAGCCTGATATTCTTTTATCTCTCCCAGATTAGTAAGCATTAATCTTTGTTCATCTCTCTCATTGTGCTTGGTGAGCCAAGTTCTTAGATGTAGTGCCAAGGACCAGATGGTAAATTGGTAATGAATTTCTGGGTTATGGATTAAACAGTGATAGCCATTCAATGACAGTTCACAGGGAGATAGAGCTAAAGGGTTTGGTCAGGGAGACTGTTTCGTATATAGACGTATTCTCTTACAGCTTGGAAAGTCACAAAGCCGAAATCCATGTGTGATGGTTATTCTTAGTTGTCAACTTGACTATGTCTGGAATTAACTAAGACTCAGTTAACTGGATAGGCAGCCATTGTTGGACTAGGTGGATCACAGGCTGTAAGCCATTCTAATAAACCCCCTTTTCTCGTAGGTAGGTAGGTAGGTAGGTAGGTAGGTAGATGATGATAGATAGATAGATAGATAGATAGATAGATAGATAGATAGATAGACAGATAGAAAATATATCTATACATTCTATCAGCTGTTCCTCTAGAGAACCCTAATACAGATTTTGGTGCCAGAAGTGGTTCTAGAACAACACAGGCATAAGGATGAATATTTTAAGTATCTGGCATAGGCTTTCCGATTTGCCAACACCTACAGTTACCAAAGCCTCTCCAGTTTCTGAACCCTCTCCTAAAAACTCAGAGTATTGAAAGCCCATGGTGTGAACTGTTTTTGAAACTTAGGGAGACAGATGTGCTTGGTTATCCCTATTCACCAGTTGTGAGAGACAGTGGATCTGGTCACTCTGTATGTAAAACTTTTGACAGTTTGTGAGGAAAATGAGGATTCTAGTTGGTTGCTCCCATCATCTCTGGGTAAACTGACAAAGGAAAAGAATGGGCTTGCTGATGAAATTAACCAGCTTTTAGCATCTCAGGATAGGGTGAAGGACAATGAACTCAGTGCTAAAATTTCCTAGCTTCAGACGAGCATCAACAGTCAGGTTTCTGAGTGTAACCTGAGAGGGAGCGAATCTTCTCTCCAGCAGCCACAGGGCTCAAATTGTGGAAAACCAAACCAAAGCCCTCATTAGAAAGTTGGCCAAACACACTTCCTAAATAGAACCCCAGTAGCACAAACACGGAGAGAAACAAGTAATAAATGGGACCTCCTGAAACTGAAAAGCTTCCATAAAGAAAAGGACACAATCAACAAGACGAAACGGCAACCTATACAATGGGAAAAGATCTTCACCAACCCCACATCAGACAGAAGACTAATCTCCAAAATATACAAAGAACTCAAGAAGTTTGTCATCAAAAGAACAAATAATCCAAAAAAAAAAAAAAATGGAGTACAGACCTAAACAGAAAACTCTCAACAGAGGAATCTAAAATTGCTGAAAGACACTTAAGGAAATGCTCAGCATCCTTAGCCATCAGAGAAATGCAAATCAAAACAACTCTGAGATTCCATCTTACACCTGTAAGAATGGCCAAGATCAAAAACACTGATGACAACTTATGCTGGAGAGATTGTGGGGTAAAGGGAACACTTCTGCATTGCTCGTGGGCATGCAAGCTGATACAGCCACTTTGGATATCAGTATGGCAATTTCTCAGATTAAAAAATAACCTTCCTCAAGATTCAGCAATACCTACCACTTTTGGGTATAAACCCAAAGGATGATCACTCATACCACAAGGACATGTGCCCAACTGTGTTCATAGCAGCATTGTTTGTCATAGCCAGAACCTGGAAACAACCTAAATGCCCCTTGACCGAAGAATGGATAAGGAAAATGTGGTACATTTACACAATGGAGTACTACACAGTAGAAAAAAAATGACATCTGGAAATTTGCAGGCAAATGGATGGTGCTAAAAAACATCATATTGATTGAGATAACCCAGACCCAGAAAGACAATTGTTGTATATACTCACTCATAAGTGGTTTTTAAACATAAAGCAGAGAAAACCAGCCTACAAACCACAATTCCAGGGAACCTAGAAAGCAATAAGGACCCTAAGAGAGACATACATGGATCTAAACTACATGGGAAGTAGAAAAAGACTACAAAGCTGAATTGGGAGCATGGGGACCTTGGGAGAGGGTGAAAGAGGAGGGGAGAGTAAGGAAGGGTAGCAGAGAAGAATGTATAGCTCAATAAAATCAATTTAAAAAATAGCTGCACAGTGGTGGTACATAACTAAACCCAGCACTCAGGAGGCAGAGACAGGCGGGTCTCTGTGAGTTTGAGGCCAGCTTGGTCTACAGAGTGAGTTCCAGGACAAGCTCCAAAGTTACAGAGAAACCTTGTTTCAAAAAACAAAACAAAACAACGCCCCCCCCCCAAAAAAAAAGAAAGAAAAGAAAACGTTGGCTGAATTACAGCAAAAATTTAGTTTCAGACTCAGAGAATGTTGACAGTTATGGTAAGGGTATCAATTGGTCAAGAATGGGATCCTGTAACTTGGGATGGAAATGTGTGGGAGGACCCTATAGAAGCTGAGAACTCTGAACCTCAGATTCTCAGGGGTTATCACCCGAGGAAGTAGTCTCTCTACCCTCAGCAGATGTATTCCCACCCCCTCCCTTTGAAACGTCAACTTTCTGCCTGACTGAGGAAATTAATCCTCCACTGTCTGCTAAACCAGCAGGACTTTCTCTGAATGAAATACCAGGCAAGATAATCCTGATGTCCCTCAGGGCCCACCAATCCTTGTCTCTAGACCTGTAAGCAGATTCAAGGCTAAGCAGGCTCCTAGAGGGGAGGGAGAATGGGTACTCCCTGAGTAGGTGTGCTGCCCTGCTAAAGAGCTTGGCGAGTCTGCCAATTCATTCAAGCAGAAGTCTGGGGAATAGGTGTGGGAATGGATTTTAAGGGTGTGGCATGATGGTGGAAGGAATATAAAACTGGATTGCGCTGAGTTGATTTACACGGGCCCACTATATGGAAGCTCAAACATTTTTAAAAAGGTGTCAAAAGTTTATTTGATTGACTGAAGCATTTGTCAAAAGCTGGCATACTGAAAAGAAGTTGGAGATGCCGAATGTCCCTTGGCTTAGTGCTGATGAAGGGATTTTAAGGCTCAGGGAAATTGCAATGCTGGATTGATATGCTGTGTAAAACTTAATCCTGTAAGATGCAAAATGGTGAGGGGCATCAGCACTTTTGAAGAGCTTTGATGTCACCCTTTTCCTTGGTCCAGATCTTAGGGTTGGAGATGCTGCTGTTCAGGTGGATGAATTAAGAGGGACTTACGGCATTTTACAAGGGTTATCTGTATACTGGGGGAAAGGAAACAACCAGGGGTCTATTGGATACTGGTTCTGATTTGACACTGATTCCAGGAGACCCCAAGAAACATTGTGGCCCTCCAGTTAAAGTTGGGACTTGCAGAGGTCAGTTCATTATTACAGTTTTGGCTTAAATATGACTCATAGTAGATCCATTGGGTCCCTGAAGTCA